GCATGTAATAATATACATGTACACACATAATTATATGTCATGTACAATCTTTAGGTGAGGGTGTGGTGGCGGAGCGGTTAGTGTGCTCGTCTCCAAAGCGGAAAGTCCGGGTTCGAGCCTCAGTTCGGGTATGGATTTTTTCCACCCCTCCTGCCCACCCAGCAGTAATGGGTACCTGACTGACTTCGAGTTGGGGAAGTAAAAGCGGCGTGGAAAGGAACTGGCCACCCTACCACAATATGTCGAATGCCCAGGAAGTTGTCTCACAAACAAGGCAATCCCCAATGTCCAGACCGGAGGCGGGAACATCTTTACTTTACACAATCTTTAGCATTTGATGTCACTCATGACTCTCAGATCACGCCATCTTTTAGACCCACCTGAAGTAGGCTATACCATTATTATTGTAGAGTTGGGGCCTGACCAATTTTGCAACTCTGTTACTGTTACGTTATTGCCTCTACTCTCTGATGGGAAAGCAGCGTTGTACTGAACCACCCCATAACATGGTTACTCTGACATTTACACATAATAGGCACAAAAGACTTTTAAGTAATTTCTTCGGAATATGAAAAGACGAAATATTCAGTCCTCCCTACCCTGTACTTTACTTGGATCCAAAGCTAGAATCACAGCAGGTGGCACATGTCCATAGCTGCTCATCTCTCCTTTCCAGCGTCCACCTCAGGGTCTTCCTGCTGATTGTCTCCATGAGGAGCTGGTTTGAGACACGCCTGACCACTCCTCGGAGCAAACTTTTTTTCGCTGTGCCCCGCACACACTTTTCTTTTATTGTGCTGAGTGTGATGGAGTCTGTCTCCTCTTGGTTGTGAATGCTCTCCTTGCATCTGGCGATCACCATGGCATTGGTGGGTCGAGCATGATTCGGCCATTGGGTACTGCTTTGCTAGCAAGTTCATCAGCACGCTCATTTCAGTGCATCCCGGCGTGACCAGGACAGAACACCCTAGTAATTCTTAGGAGGTGGCTATTTGCAATGGAAGCTCTCCAGTCACTGTAGAGCCACCCACTCCCGATTTTTTCTAGGGTGCTCATCGAATCTGTGACAAACAGGGCATGTATATACACTTCAATGCTGATCCATTCCAGCGCCTCTATTATTGCCTTGACCTCCATTGCCATGCTCGGCGTAGTGCACTCGTAGGCTCCAGACTGTTCTTTAATTATCTTCCCGTCAACTCGAGCACTGAACGCCCACCTAGATTTCTGGCCCCGCCTCACTGATCCGTCGGTGAAGACGACAACATCACCCATCACTGAATTTTCCTCAAGGATGGCCACAATATCCGCATTAGTTGCACTTGCTGGCCACTCGCGACACTCTCGACCTAGCGTAGCTATCACCTTCATGAAGTTGCTCATGTCTTTCTCCGGCCTCTACCCTGAAATCAGGGGTATTAATACTGTAGGAAAAATTACAAGTTTCAGTTTGCTAGAAATTGCATTATATCTGAAATGAAGTACAGGTGAACCTGCCAAGACGATCACCTGTCCAAGATGGCAAACTTCCATTTCTCCCCTTGGGTTTTTTTTTTCTACATAAACGAACAGCCTGTCCAACACTATATTTTATCAACCAACAGCCCAAAGAACCCAAGTCTAAGATAAGTAAGCAAATCCTTGATTTGCCCATAAATCATTCATCAACCAATGACACTGGATGAGCCGGCACAATCCATTCACATGTTGTAATTGTTGGTCCCTCCAATGAATGAGCTGATCACCTTGTTGAGGTCCCTCCCATTGTGTACCGGTACCCATGTTTACCAGTCGGCAACACATTTTCAGCGGCTGGTGAGGGAGGCATTTGAAACATTGTAATCCAGTAACTCCGCTCACAACTCTGATCATACATACACTCATGATATATATATAATAAGTGATATGAACAGTTGCTCTATTTACCCAGTCGATACCGATGACAATAGGTGTCAGCATGCTCCGTTATGTTTTGCCCTTGCATTGCACACCCTCTTCCTTGCTTGTTACACTTCATAGAATTTCATACTCGCACCAGCAGCGAAAGCTCCCCTCCACCCTCCCTCCCAAAAAAACAAACCTAGACATTTTAATAGTATATTTTAATGGGCCTTACAGCAGTCCTAAGCCTGCAACTGCCTCTGCTTGGGACCTACTAGGAAGGGAACGGTTTGTTTTCTTCCTTTTGATCAGTCCTGCCAATGAGTATGACGCCCTACATTTCTCCTCAACAATGGGTGGCCATCTTAGTTTGAAGTCTTTGCCGTTGTAGATTACCACTGGGTCAACTGACCCCCTTAAACACTTTTTATGAGGAAGGCATGGGGGATTTCATTAATGAACCCACTTAAAACTTGTATCTCTGACAAGTAATTTAAAAAATGAAAATGGGTGGTTGGCAGACGCTTTGATGTGGTTTGGTCTTTTTCTACCAAACATCTATTGTCCACATCTCTCCTTTTTATTTGTGTTTGTTACTCTTTTGAAACACCTGCCTTTAGTCTTCGGCACTTTATACGACCTAATTGAGTTGTAAGTGCCATAAAACTCTTACTTAAACAAAACAAACTTTGAACACAAATCAGGCTTCGTAAACAGAGGATCAAAAGACTGACTGAAAACCTTCAGTATTGAAGAACGCTGGTCTTCTCAATAGTGGCAACACAACAACCTAACTCAATGGAGATTCTAAAGCGTCACAGTTGAGACAAAAGCAACCATGCTGCCTTGCTCTTGGAGTAAACTTTACCAAGTTCATAATGTAGGACCTCCTAGCTAAAAATCCATCTGTTACAATGAGCAATAAAACCTATTAAACAACTTTGCTTTATAAATGCTCCCAAAGATACAGTGGAACTCGGATTTAACGAGGTCGTCGGGCCTGACCTAAAATCTCGTTGAATCCGAGTGTTCGTTATAGCAAACACGAGGTTTCGTGTAGATAATTACAGGCACTGAGCAAGTAATGTACAAGAGAAGTCACAAGTAGTGCCTGACATGCCTACATATTATGAGCTGTGTAAAAAAAAAAAAGGCCTGTGTCATCTCGATTGTTTACCAAAAAGTTGTGTTGCTGTGTAGAGCCTGAATACGGCAACTTTTGATTCCATAGACCAGCGCACCATTCACATAGCTGCCACTCAGGAATTTCAAAAAAGGAGGAAATTCATGCGAAGGCGGACGCGCGCTCTCCGAAGGCCGGAGTAAAACAAGTGAGATCCAGAGGCAATATATACTGGAAAACTGTCATATTTGTTAACCATAGGCAACTGAATTAAAATGTATTTGGAAAAAAAAAAAACAACAAACAAAAAAACCCCAACAAAGGCACTAAGTAGACTACCAAGCATTTGAGTCAATTTGACACAGTTTGGACTTGGTGACTAAAAATCCAGTGTTTGTTGAAAGCTGGTGTCTTATAAAAAGACTTCTTTCACTTTAAACTTATATATCGAAGTAGAGCGCGCGCAGTATTGGATCAAGGAGGCAACACCTCTGCCGCTGTACTGAGCACGGGACGTTTGCACTTAACTTAGTAGTCCCTCTGTAGAATGTAGATCTAACCTGAATTAAAATTATAGCCTAGGCTATCTAATCTAGATCTAGAATCTAGAAATCTAAATATGTGTAAATCTAGATTATATCTAGAGATAGATTATCTAGATCTAGATCTAGATCTAGATCTAGATTCACTTCAACAGCCACAATAGCCGTCATGTAAACAAACGGGACCGCAATTGTACAGGAGTGCCGCGATTTCTTTATCGCACCAAACGCAAAGTGCAACAAGAGGAGCTCCATTTATTATTGCATTCTGCATCAATTTCTCTCGAATTTCCGCTGTTTTCAATGACAACTCGGCGCGCTAACGCCCCGATGCCCGATCGACACTTTGTTGCTCCACAACAACAAAGTGAAACTAGCGCTAGGCCTAGAAGAACGGAAGTAGAAAGCTACGGGCGGACATGCGCGAACTGCGTTTTCGTCTCTCTCCTGGTTCGGTGTTTTCCGCGTGTCAAAAAAGTATCGCAATTTGCGACCGAGAGCGGTCCAGCGGAGGAAGGAGAAAAGTAGCTGGAAAAGTTAAAAGAAGCGGAGTTTCCGCTATTTAGCGGGAAAGTGGCAGCTATGCATTCAGTACGTAGATCTACGCCAATACTAGCTTATCATTGTAATTATAATTATCAGTTGCCGATGGGAAAAAATACTTTGACGCGTTTGTATCTGCCACGTTCAACGCCCGGACCGCTAGTGCCCCCCCCCCCACCCCCCTCCCCGACACGCACACACAGCCAGACGTGTGCAAGCCGCCCATACGACCCCTGCACACGCCAGAGTAGACGCGTGCGCGTGCCAACAACACATGTGTTGGTTGTATAAGAACGTTTAATATGTCGCATGCAATCGGTTAAGTGAATAATGGTTCACGATGCAGGTGCAATGGATATTTTCCGGCAATAGATAAAGTTCGTTCTGAGAGAAAAATTAGCGAAGCCACGTCTGCGGGGGCTGTTCACCCTAGAAGTATTCTTGTTGAATCCGAGCTCGCTGATTAAGTGCTCGTTGAATCCGGGTTATTTTTATTGATTTAAAAGAAGAAAAAAAACCGGGGAATCTATCTCATCTCGTTGAATCCGTGTTCTCGTTGAATCCGAGTTCCACTGTATTCTGATCCAGGTCATGTACATTATGTGTGGCCAGCTAAGCTAATGGCACTGAATCATTAACTAACAAAAGACAAGATCTGTCTAACTAGATCTATAATACATCAACATTTCGAGTACTTGTTGAAGAAGAGTCTCTTGCAGCAGTCCAAATTAGGTCCGTTCAGGTCATTAAAAAAAAAGTACAAGAAGCATGATATAGGGCAGGAAAAAAGTAAAATGACCCACAGAAACAACAGACAGATAGAAAAGAAAGACTTTCTTGTGAAACCCTCCATCCACCCGCAACAAGGTCAGACATCAGAGAAAACTTTCAATCTCACCGCAAGAACAGTGTAGTGTCAAGGCAGATGTTTATTTGCGATATCTAATCAATAAGGATAAAGCAAAATACCAGTGCAAAGCATCATTTTCCTTACACAAATAACTCAACAGTAAGCTTCAAAGCTAACGAAAATGAAAATTTGTTGTTGTTGTTCACAAGGTTTATTTTTTTATCTTTTCCTCCAAATAAAGGCAATAATAAACAGGCACACTCTCTCTCACTTTCTTGCTCACACACCGTAACAAATATTCTTGTGGCAGTTTTATAGTCACAAAGGAATTTAGATGCATGATACTGAGCTGAATGGGAATTGTCATGAGATATATAGGATCATAAGAAATATGCAAAGATAGTGAGGAACAAATCATGCTCAGCTAATGTCTTAGACTACAAATATTGAAACGATTCCTACAGGTACTGCTGAATTTGGATGTACAAGTGTGTATCAGATCTCACAAATCAAAAACTCAAACTTTCGTTCAATCTGGAAGAATTGATCCCATTCATTCCAATTGGCAAGGGGGAAAAAAAAACAACCTTACAAATTGCTGGACAAACAATCAAGGCAGGCACCAATAATTGATATTTTCAGAAACATTACTATGCATCAGAATTCAAAGGAAAATCAAAACTTAAATAAATGGAGATAGCCCAACAATGCAATGTCACATTGTGAAAGGAAAGATAAAAGACAATTTGTCTTCCATCATACTTATTTATTAATACGAAGACGATATATGCTGACATAGTACAGGCTCTCTCAAATCAACTTGGGAGATCTTCATCGTCAAAGTTCTGTGACAACAAAAAGTTGGCTGCTAGGTCCTCATTCTTATCACATGCAAAGTAAGCCTGGATGCACATTGCCTCAGGGAAGCCAAGGGCCTTTAACTGAAAGAGAAAAATTGTCAAATCTTAACAATGTGCAAGTCATTCATGCTCTGCAAGGAAGCAAGTGTAGAATTTACTATAAAAGGAGCAGACAACTAAATTTAGAAACCACACACTTCAACTCACTGAATCCATTAATTGGAAACGTGAAATATTTTTTCATTTACAAACGACTCCCAACATCCCACCCACATATGGGATTTCATTTTCATTATTTTCGTCCTTCAATGCCATTGAAAATATGCAATAAAAATAGATACTGTTTGAAAGCTCTTCTTTTCCCATTTCCTTCCTTACTTTACTCTTCGGTGCATGAAACATATTTTCTCCATTTTGTCAAAACTGCAGCCACTTCAGGTAGTACAGTTCTGTTGTAGCTAATTAGCACATGGAATTTCCAACCCATTTTATCCCATTTTTGCCATCCTACATAAACACAAAATCATGATAGACGTGCACTCCTTGTTAGTTTATTTAAAGTCTAAAACATATTTTTAACATTGTGTCAAAATTTGAGCCAACCACAGGCATAAATATTATTTACAAATTTACAACGTAAAAACACACCACTTTTTAACAGGTGCCCGTGAATAGCCAGCCCCTAGGGCCCAGTTTTCTGTGAGTTAAAATGCACTAGCACAGTGAGTGACAGAGATGTTACTGAGTCAGAGTGCACAACGAGAACATACCAGAACAGCTATATTACGCATGGACATGGCACATTTGAAGCTCCGAAGAAAGCAAGTTACACCAGAACACATACCAACCATCCTGCAAGTACTGAGTAAAGATTTGGAATTAAAAGATGATTTTTGTCTCGAATGACCATAAAGCACATCTAACACGATATACGGAAATGTTTAAAATATTAATATATTTAGATACTTATATTATATTATGCTAGACCGAAATCCAACCAATCTAAGTCGAGAATGGAAGTAAAGCACATCCAACAAGTTGTACTGCTCATCATAATAATTAGCACAATAAGACTTGCCACTCACCCTGTCAATGGCTTGTTTCTCTTCGGGAGTGACAGATATGTAACCAGAGCCGGGAGGAGCATTGACCCCACCAGCTCCCTGCCCACCTTCCTCCTGGTCATCACCCTCTTCTGGCTCATTCAACATGTGAACAAAACGCTCCTGGTTCTGGCTGATCATCTGAAACACACACAAAAAAAATTACTTTTAAAAAAAGTATATAAACCTCTTCCGTTCCAAGGTCACCTATTACACAGGTGAGCTGTTCCCCCCCAGTTTGTACCATACTGGAAAGCAACATGAACGGCCTTCATACAAATCCAATAAGGAGCCTTCTTCGAATGGACTGTTTGGCTGGTTATCAAGAATCCCTACCTATTTGGTTCAATAATACCCGAGATTGGCATTTATTCTGGAGGTCCTGTCATAAAATAAACAAACCGAGTTCAAAAGGGGCATTTAACCCATACTGTACCAAAACTCTACTTTTTCGTTTTAGTAAGTGTTTTACGGCACTTGCAACACAATATAAAGTCATATAACTGCCGAAGATTAGAGGTGTTACAAGAGAGTAACAAACAGGAAAAAGAAGGAGGGAAGATAAAGATGATAGATGTTTGATAGGAAAGAAGAGGGAAAACCACACCAGAGCACCCGCCAACCATCCACCAATACTGTACACCTACAATGCCCTGATCATAAGATAATACAAAAAAAAGGATGATGATAAATAGGAGCAATAAACAAACTGGAAATAAGGACCTACCAACAGCAGCACACCTCCAAAATACCCACAAAAACACACCTTACACAACTTTCCAAAATAAGATACAAGCTTTAAAAGACATAATATTGGTTTAAAAAAGCATTTAGCATACAATACATCAAAGTCCAATAACACCTGGTCACAACAAAAACACGACAACAATCACATTGTCTTAATCCAAAACCCAAGACCTGCAATACCCACATTTCTCTGAAGTCAGAAAAAATTCAACCGTGATTGAATAGTAACATAATAGTACTCTTCCCTCTTCTGAAAAACCTAGCACAATAGTAAATAAATTTGCTATATCTAACTCTTCAAAAACATGTCACCACAAGGTTATTGTCAGCACCAAATGCCATAAATACATACTCACCAATGATAAGTTTTATTTCGTTAAATGAGGTCCAAAAGTATATCCCTGTACTGTATTAATACGTGCAACATATAGTCAGGATCAGGGGCCCAACAAACGGGGAAATAATGCCGAGTTCTCTTTATTCCTGATTCATTTCAAATCTAGATAATGCAACAAATCATGGCATCCTGCTTGGATCACCTGCCATTCCGGCCTCTAAATTCTAAATCAATCTTAACTCACTCACTGCCAGGCATTTCTCGGCAGGATAACTGAGGAATGCCAGGCTTTCGGGACCATTTTCAAAACCTCACTGTGAGCTTATCATTTTGTGTACAGCATTGAACTTTTCCACAAACAATGATATTGAAACATACTCAACAAATCCCAAAAAAATTTTGTGATACCTTTACCGAGTGAAATTTTATGAGTATGCATGCCTTTATATCTTTATCTCTGCAAGAAATAGATGTTGTATCAACTGACAAATGTTGAAGAGCCACTTTGAAAAGATATCTGACAAATTTTATATTACTGGAATATCATTTAAGTCATCAGTCCACCCATCTTGAGCATTAACATCAGGGTGTGTGGTTGCAGGACGGGGCATTGCCACTGGAAGAGGGGTGCCACTATTTGAAGTTTGTTGTGTAGACATAGGAGGGTCTATGTCAGCTGTATTCCTATCATTTGGGGTCTAAATCTACGTTGTGTGATCTTTGACGTTTGCGTGACGGGCCTGAACTGGGACCGGGAAGCATCGGATCATAGGTCTGAGCATGGGGAACACCCGATTCTAGATCTAGGCCTAGATCTAGCACAATTTTCATCTTCACTTGTGTCCGCACCTCTCCTATACTCATTATCAACTCTGTATGATGGTTGATCATCACTATCATCTGCAAAAAGATCTAAATCTGACCCCTTATTGACGAATGGGTCCCTCAATTCAAATTTTTCGACCTCGTTGAGACGCCGTCGCCATCGTAACTGAGCGTCAGTAGTTTTTAGTTCGTTTCGGGTGAGTTAGAAAAAGTCTGATTTTTAAGTAGCTTATTCAAGGGAAGTTACTGCAACAATGCGGAATCGAAACTAAACTGGCTTATGTCGTCTACTTCTGACTGCCAAGCCCGAAACGCGTCGGGGAATGTTTGAAAAATAGTAGTAAAAACGCACCCGACGGGTTTCGGGTTTGGCAGGCAGCGGTCTACGCGGATCACCCGACAGGGTTCGGGTATGGCAGTGAGTGAGTTAATGCAACCAACAGCAAACGGTTCTTCTAAGGTAAGACACCATATGAGGATCTGCTAGTATTTGATTTCACACATGCTGAGCCCCCTCCAGCAGGTTAGAAATTCCCCTTACACTAAAGGATCTTGCTCTTCTTGTCATGATCTCCATGCTCCCCCCCCCCTCCCACGGCCAGACAATGGCACCTTCTTTTATAGATAACACCTTTCAACACCAGCCCATGCAGCAACTTGCAAGCAAAAGAGTGAGCAAAGGAATTACCTGCAGCAGAGGAGGGTTATTTTGACCAATCTGTTGAAGAAGAGCTGGTAGAAGCTGAGGGTTTTCCTGAATAGCTTGACGCATGCGTTGAAACTGAGGCTGTGATCGCAAGAAAGCTAGGGGGTCCTCCGATGAACCTTCAAAAGAAAAAGTTTCAGAACTTGCACCGATGTCATATGACACTAAATCATTCAACAAGTGAATATTAGAACCCCAACATTTGTACCATCCAGAAGAAAGCGAGAGAGAGATTCCTTTTTAAAGAACTAGCTAGAGTTTATCCAACATTTCCTAGCTACACATTCATCAAAGAAGGTACATGTTAGGTTCTGGCAAAAGTGAAAAATTAAGATGGTCTACTCACTGAAAAAATGCAGTACAAACTTAAAGCTCTTCAGTATTTTTAAAGTATGTTTATCCAGCATTTCCTAGCTACGCATTCATCAAAGAAGGTACATGTTAGGTTCTGGCAAAAGTGAAAAATTAAGATGGTCTACTCATTGAAAAAATGCAGTACAAACTTAAAGCTCTTCAGTATTTTAAAACGACAATAACCCAATTTTTTAAAAAATATATAGCAATGCCGAAAAAAACCTGAAAAATTTTATGTTCAGCATTTGATCAGGAATGTTATAACTGTACCTCTACATATACATCCCCCCCCCCCCAAAAAAAAACAAAACAACAACAACAAAAAAACAACTAACTGGAATGGATTGAAATCATCAAAGAAACTGTTAATGACGTTATCTAGTCTTTCTGCACATACATAATATTCATAAAGTTCTCATGACATGCTACAGATAAATAAATGCTTTCTTCTCACTATCTCTTCTCAAAATAGTACACTCAATTGTCTGTCGTAACTAAACTACAAAATATTTAGCAAATTTGTTAGCAGAAAAAAATTCCATATATAAAAAAAAACAATGAGCAGCAAAGTTTCATGCAAATGCTCTGATTAATTACTAAAACGAGGTAGAATATCTTATAGAAACTGTTGTGAGGGGGTCCACTTGTGTAGATTTACTGCCAACATAAAGGTACCCCAGGTGTTACCACCTTTTAGGACCCCATAGCATTGTTACATTATTATGGACATCTTTTACAGTAAAAAAAAAAGCATAACGCTTAAAATACACAGCACTTTCTTGGGCAGCAATGCCCCCCCCCCCTTTCCAAAAAAGCAGAACGGGAGTTTTTTTCATTGGTATTACTGAACAAGGTCCACACTGAACTCACCAGTGCCAGTTCCAGTGCCAGTTCCAGTACCAGTACCAGTACCAGTGGTGGCAGAGGGCTGGGAGGAACTTGTTTCTGAAGATGGATTCGACGCCATGGATACATTTGACTCACTGCCTCCTGTGGCAGGACGGGCAGGTGGCGCCCCACCTCCAAAAGGCTCATCCCCTGGCTGAGCATCAGGGATACCCTAAGGGGAAAAAAAATCAATCACAAGTTGAAGCACAAACATCCTCCACTGTATACTTTTAACTCTTAAAACCTTATACCACTGGTAACGGCTGACGCAGTATTTTCCTATACCGCTGGTCAACTTTATCGCTTAATTCCCAGTGCTAGAAACAGGGGATGTAACTCCAGATGACTCTGTCGTGAGCATGAAGTATCGATAATGTCATAAGAGCAGTTCTACACCGTAAGTTAGGAGTTTTTGAAAGTTTTTAGTTTCTTTTAAATGAGTGACTTTTTGCTGCCACGCCGATCAGGCTGCAATAGTTTTGCCATTTTTTTTCTGAACCAGACCCCGATAATGACTCTCAGTCGTATATTTCGACAGATATAACTTGAAAATGATTGCAATGTTTCGCATAACATCGATGATGATTTTGACGATTGTGGAAGTGGCAAGGGATCACCACTAGAGCCGTCAGAGACTAGATCTACGTCTGGGTCTAATGATGCTTTGACTGTAGTGGAGCCAGGGATCACACACAAGACTTTACTCATTGAGTTGGTCCTAAAAACCAGTGTTTTAACTTTTCCCCTTTTGTCCAGACTGTGTATTCATATGTACATAACATATTCAAATTTCAGTAAAATCTGACAACAATTAAAGCCACAGAAAATAAAACAATGAAACAACCTGATTTTTTTCTAGTATCCCTATTTTAATTCAGAATTTTAGGGAGGTATGAAAAAAATTAACTTAGGTTTTACGGGTTAAGCATCAACTTATAAAATAAGTACTCTATATCATTGCATATTGGACATATGCACAGATAAGACACAGGAAGACTTGAGAGCCAAAATTTTGGTATAAATCATATGATCATCTGATCTGACAAGACGCATCAGCTCTTTCATGGCAAGTGTTATCATCTTTGTTAGTGGGGTTTTTTCTCACACTAATAATCACTTCAAAACAATAAAAATCAAAGTTTTTATTTTACTTACTTGTTTTTCATCAGCATTTAAACATATTTTACTGATTAATTATGATATGACCCACAGAGTTTTTCCCTTTATTCGATCCCCACTGGATTTTATGCGTATAATTTGGTATTTCATGAATACAACGCAAGGTTTGTTGCTGTTGTTGCATGAATACAACGAATGGTAACTTTGAAGTCATGATATTCTTTAAGTTAAAATTTTCATCCTAGGCACAATGATATCTAGTATCTTAATTTGAGCTACAGCAAAACTAGAAAATGCCATATATTTCAAAAAAGAAAAACACAACTTTGACACTGGTCTCTTCTTCCTTTCAACTGCTTACCGCAAGCAAATACTCGACTGCCCTGTCTGGATTATTAAAGCTGGCCCGAAGAGCGCGCACCACATTTTCCCTGTCAAAGCCCATAACCATGAGCTGTTGCACCATGTTTTCGTAAGCTTGGCCCGTCACCAATGTGCTCTCTGCAAACTGAAGACTGTCAGAGCTAGAGCCAGTGGCACTTGCTGTTGTTGTGGTAGTCGCTGTGCTACTTGCTGTTGTGCTGTTCCAAAGAAAAAAGACACAAATGTCACAATGTGAAAACATAGAAAGTACATATTGGAGAAATTCTGCATAGATGTAGGCACTTTTATATCAAAACACCTGAATGGGAAGTATAGAAACAGGGAGGTAGGTCCTGATTTTGAACTCCACTGACCCAAGGGGAAATGAGATTGAGATCTGCTAGCCTTCTACGAGGACAATTTTTCTAAAAACACAAAGAAGTCTGGGATGCACTTTGCTCGGATTAAAGACACCAATTATTTACCCCTTTATAGCCTTATGACGTAGCTGATTGTTACAAAAATGTGTAATTTTAAGCACTGTGCCGTACCATGTACGTCATGAAAGTTGGCAAAATTTGCCGCTCCTGGTCGCCTCTATGACGCTACATGCATGTCTCACTAGTAACCTGGCCCTAATTTTTCTGTACGGAGTTTTAGCCACAAGCATTGCATAGATTCATATTCGGGAATAAAAGACGCGCATTTCCGTACCAAATATGCAAGCATTACTTTACTGCTAGGCTTGCAAGCGATTGATAAACACAGATCTAGGCTTGCGGGGGCTTCGTGCTCTAGTAAAACAAAACGTAAACATCGAGATGACTTTTAAAAGGCGAAGACCCGGTGTTCAAAATAAGTCACTAGTGCGCTAGATCTAGACCGCACACCCATTAACACCGAGACATTAGGCTGCTGTCCTGGGTAACAAGATCAGTAGGAACGCATACCCCCTGGTACAAAAGGGTTTAAATTTTTAAAGTAAGATAGCTCAGATCAGCTGCCTGTAATAACGTTAAAATTAAGTCTCTAACAAAACTAAAGAAACTTTACCCATAACAATTACTATGACTTAAGATTATAAATGCAATGCAAAGTAGACCGGAGCAATATACAATTATTTAATATGATCTCAATTATGAAGTGGACATTGCACTTTGCACTGCAACAAATTATATTCAACCAGCAGAAGAAAAAAAGAAAAGAAAAAGAACTACACATCTGGATCAACAGGACAGACAGCTTCTTACATTATACACATTAGGACACAACTCTGCGCAAAATATTGTGTATAAAACTAGAAAATAGAAGGCAAGAGAAAGAGTCCCCGGGGGCAAGACCGAGAAGGGCTAGGTTAAGCTGGGAACAACGCAAAATCTAGGTACAAGGAATGCAAGATACTGCTACAATATTCAAGCGAGTCATTCTCTACCTTTGTGTAGTGGCAGGGGTCTCGGCTGGTCTGTCACCTGCCGCTGCTGTAGTTGTGGCTGGGGTTGCTGCAGCAGGGGTAGCTGCAGCAGCAGCTGCTGCTGGAGCAGCCGACGGGGCAGGGGTAGGTGTGGCCGAGGCTTCCGTGGCAGCTGGAGCAGGAGTCTCAGCAGCTTTGGGTGGTGCAGCTTTTGGCTGATGACAAAAAGATACGGGCAAAATAACAGCAGGGGAAAAAATATTTTGAAACAAAAAATTTTAATTAAAAATGTACAGGATTATTTCTGGAAAAATTATTTCAAATGATCAATGTTTTCTTACTTAGACTAAACACAGACCTGCCACTCTATGAAACCTCAAAATCAGGATCTCAGGGAGAAAAAAATGGGGATTTGGAGAAAAAAATCGGGATCAACAGCAAATCACCAGGGGGACTGCCAAAGCTGACTTAAAATTTTTCCAGGGGTGTCCATAAATTACTTGGCCTATATGCCCTCTGTGTGTGTGTGTGTGTGTGTGTGTGTGTGTGTGTGTGTGTGTGTGTGTGTGTGTGTGTGTGCAGAGCTGTTAAAGTACTTTTAAAAAAGTACTTAAGTACAAATTTAAGTACAATCTAAAAAATGTACTTAAGTACAGTAAAAGTACTTTCCTATAAAATGTACTTGAGTACAAGTACTTTTTAAAAAAGTACTTACGAGTACATTTTAAGTACTTTCTGCTAATATGCTAAAACACTTCAGCGCTTATGCAAAACATCATATTTTATAACTTATCCAGTATATTTGACAAATTAGGCTATTTATTACTAAAAATGTAAACAGTATACAAAGCATTTGAATATACAATGTACGGTGGAAATGGTCCTTGAAGTTGAACAAAAAACAACCCAAACGAACAGACGCAACTAGTGGGTAAGTGCTATTATGAATAGAACTTGTTTGAGCAAGACAATGTGATCAAATGTAAGTCAGTCCTAGAGGTTGGAAAGTTCTACAGAAAGAGTATCCAAACTGAAAAATGTAGATACAAAGTTGCTCTTAAGAAAACATTAAATTGATGAAAATGGCCCGCATAGAAATGGAAAAGTGCATTGAATTCTTCATTAACAAATCCTCAAGGAATCAATGTAGCCTTAAGCACAAACTACCAAAAAAAAGTTTAAAAGAAATTTAGACAGCCTAAAAATTGTTAGATACACATTGAGAACACAGTTTCAGTTTCAATTGATTATAGTGGTCTGACAGATTTTGGTCACACTGTGTAGTCCACGGCGCCAACGGCAAACCAAAATACAATAGTTTCCTAGAGTCTAGTAAGTGTAGTGTAACCAAAGATTCTCTACTGCAGTAGTCTCCGCCTAAGATCCCAGTGCTCGGAAGCAAGGAAAATATGGGATCTTAGCCAATGAAGCCAAGGAAGAATCTACAGTGACCCATGAACTGACGTGACCCCTGGGTGGATTTATGACATATGGCAAGCAAAGAGTGGTCAACCTTGATGACCAATCACAGTGGCATGAGGCATGCCATAAATAATATTATATATACACACTCATTAGCCTATCGTGAGTCTTGAGATCTTTATCTACGTTTATTCAGTTGCCCCTCCCCTTTACCTGTCCAACAATTTTAGCTTTCCATCTCTGATTGAGTCCCCCCCCCCCCCTCCACCTCCTTTGTCGTTACGCACCATTACGATGTGACCACACTAATTAAAATTCAGGTTGTCTCGCAAATTCGGGAAAAACTGCTTTCAATGGTCAGGGAAGAGTTCACAGTTTGATGTGATCCCGCCTGGAGCGAACTTGTAGGCCCTACCCACCCAGGGAGTGATGTAAGTTTAGGTGGTGAGGTCAGATGCGAGTGCGATGTTTGGGGAAAAGAAACGCATCGGTCAGTTCACACCTTGGTGTGATCCCGTCTGGAGCAAACACTGTACCGTTTCATGGAGTTTTACAACGCTTGTGATCACATTCACGATAGTGGCTGATCTTTGAGGCGACGGGCCGTTCTTTGATCTCAACTTTTAACTCTTGGCGGTTGATCGGGTTTTGGTTCCGTAAATTATGATCAGAAATGCCTGCACTTACCCTTTCATTAAGCTACCAAAGTACTCAAAATGTACTTAAAAAGTACTCAAAAGTACTTTTATAAAAAGTATCGGAGTACAGTAAAAGTACTGGTTTCAAAAATGTACCGGGGACAGTAAAAGTACCGAAAATTGTAACGTAAGTACAAGTACCGGAGTACTTGTACTCCGTTACTACCAGCTCTGTGTGTGTGTGTGTGTGTGTGTGTGTGTGTGTGTGTGTGTGTGTGTGTGTGTGTGTGTGTGCGTGCGCGCGCGCGTGTGCGAGTTATTATTTTTTGTAAATCCTGAAGCATCGCGTCAAGCACTCCTAGTCCAAGTCTCTATACCCCCCCTCCACCCCTACCAATAAGTCCCGAAATACATGAACTTAAGATGATCCCATCAACGGACGGTCCCCGACACGCAGAACTCACATGGCGATGTCATGTCACGTGACGCGAATGCACGATAGAAACAATATTTTTACTGATGGGTCCGACTAACTGCACGTTCACACAAAACACTTGGATGAGCAACAGTCCGTCTATCTCTGGGATAACGACGGCAGCCGACCGACCAAATGAACCAAGAAATCTCTTTTATCCCTCATAATGCGTTCAGACAAAAGCAGCGACAATGGCCGTATGTTCGTCTTGTCAGTGCAGTTGTAGTTCAGTAAAGGTTAAAAAGACTGTCGCTTGTCCGAGTGTTTGATGTGAACGTGCAGATACCAGACCTCGGACAAGGCTTGTTTTGAAAGTAACAGCGGAACTACGAATATTATCGATTATTTGTATGTCCCAAATTGTATCAGTTACCAGGCTATCATTGGGGAATTCTGAGTGCGGGCAAAGATCACACGCAACTTGGGGCGAGTCAACTACTAAATGCGGCATCGATATTTCAGGGAATAGTGCTCTGAGTTCCTACTGACAAAAAAGTTCAACGGGTGCTTCCCACAATAAAGGAGAAGGCAGAGTAAGTTTTTAGAAAAATCCGGCACAGCAGCAGACTGGGACAAAAAATCGGGATACACGCTATCGAAATCGGGAAAATCGGGATGCTTGAGATTTGGGGCAAAAAAAAATCGGGATATCCCAACTAAATCGGGATGAGTGGCAGGTCTGCTAAATATAAAGACAATGTCAAAATTATTACAACTTAAGAAAGCAGGATAGAAGTCCTTGGGAAAGAAAAAAAAATTAATCTGTTCCAGGTGGGGTTTTTGGGGTCTATCCAAAATAAACGTATCACTGATCTGATTAGGGCCTAACTGAAAAATTCAATTTGAATGCTTTTTTAAATTGTCTTCTACAAAACAAAACAATTTGAGCTGTTCTAATATTAGTAAAATCATGTCCGTAACAACCCAAACAAGTATTTCTAAACAGAATGTCTTAAGACTACATTTCATGGAATGTCAACTATTACTAAGCTGTGTCATTTAAATCGTTCTTACCTTTGTCACCATGACAACCACAAAGTTCTTCTCATCAATCTTGTACTCTTCCACACATTTGGCATCATCCAAGATTTTACCTAATTAAAAAAGAAAACATAAAGAGCAGATATTACAAAGTTTCTTGCATACGCATTCTCCCTCTATCAGGGGTGCAAGTGTTGAACGAACTCATTTTTATTTGATTAGTGTTTGTGAAATCAGCCAAAACATACTCAAACTCAAGACACGTCTAAGCAAGTCTTACAGACCGACATTTGTCAAGAGACTAAAACTACATAACGTATACAATTTCTCCAGTAGAAAACAATGACAAAAGCAGTACAAGGCCAAAACCATTAATCCAAAACTTTGGGGGGGGGGGGGGGGCACAAAGTTGACAAAGAGCCTAGGAAATGAATTACCAACCTCCCATAGAATACTTTTTTAGACTGCACACAATTGAGAAAGATTAATGACTGCTATCAAAATTCTTATAAAACCAGCCTCACTTACCTGCATAAATAAGTTTCTGTCCTGCAGCTGGATAATCTTTTCCCCTATCAGCTTCGATCTTCTCCTTCAACTCCTTTACCTGATAAAAAAAAAAAAAGAAATGGACACATCGTTATGAGCACGGTTATGACAGCTACATGAAGTACTAATCACCATTGCTCTAAACATAAAGAAGCATCGCAATGTAAGATCATCAATATGACAAACTATTCAAACTCTTGACACAGTAAGATGGCACCTTGGTATTAAAAATAGAGCATGACTGTTTAAAAGTGAGCAGACAAGCAGTCAGTTTTAATCTGTATGTCACCCGAAACAAACTGAGGAATCCCCCTGTCCAACTACATTTTTTTAAAAAGGGAATGGAATCATGAGCTTCAAACTTCCAATTATGATACTTACTCAATGGTGATGAGAGACTTTTAATAGAGGAGGAAAGCTTGTCTACACTCAAATCTAATACTACACTGCTTCATATTTTGATTTCCTCTTTTGTGAATGTCCAGTTCTTATCGTTCCTAAATCGCTATAAAAAAAAGGAACATACACAAATGGGTATATAATTATACTTAAAGGGTTAAAAGTCAATATCTCATAATTTTATAGTAAGATTTTTAGCTTGTAAACATTTAACTCGCACGCACATTCACACACTGAGTGACCATGACAAAGATTGAATGCTAACGATTTTTAATTAACTTCAGTTAAGAAATTTCATAAAAGAGTAATATTGACTAGAATTAGAGTTGTGTCCATTTGGAGGGAGAAATAGTGGTGGCGGTTGAGCCTATCAAAAATAAAATAAAGTTGACAAACCAAAAGGGGTCAATTCCGACTGTAATACACTAAGAAAAATGACCTACGACTCTATGAAATCTAAAAGTCAGGATCTCAGAGGGGGGAAAAAATTGTTGGAAATAAGTGGGGAGAGAAAAAGACAGGAGACAAACAAAGAAAAAGAGAAGGCGAGCGATACACAGAGGAGAGAGAGAGAGGCAGAGAAATAGAGAGGGTCACTGCTCGATTGAAATTATACGTTGTTCTTAAAATTTTCTTCAAATTGTGATTCCCCCAACTCCAAAATGGAGGAAAAACGATCGTTCATCGAAAAGACATCCACAATCTTCATTTAGATCTAGAATCTAGATCTAGGCTAGCCTCAAAACTAGATCAATGATTTGTATGTCTGTCTAGATCTAGACCTCTTGGCCATAGATCTAGAAGAACCTAGGTTCCCTCCTGCCAACTGGGGCATGTCATACATTTTGCTAGCACAGATCTCTCTCTCTCACACACACACACACAAAAACACGCTACCGGGCCTGGGCGCTGAAACTTTCCTAAATCACAAATGAGTTCCCCTACCGGGTCTGTATACTTCGTGACTTTGTTCCCGGTTGAAAGTGGCTATTCTCACCCGCCCGGAAGTTCTCGCAAGATCAACTCCTCCCCTCTTCTCTCTCTCTCTGTCTCTTTCTGAATACTGTCTATTGGTGTGGACGATCAAATTGACCAAAACAAAGTTTTAAAATGATGTTAAAACACAAAAGTAAATTAATTTGGTTGTCTACAAAGATGCTACGGCTATTTAACTTTTCGAATCGAGCCGAACTACGCGGGTCGCCATTTTGTTTTGCCTGGAAATTCTCGCGCTACTCCTCTCTCTCTTTCTCTCTCTCTCTCCACTGCTCACAGACAAAATTGTACGCTTTTAGTAGGCTACAGTTGTAATGGAACGTTTGTTTTTGTTCACGGCACAGAATTCTACAATTTTTCTGTTATCACAGTGTAGAATTCTGTGGTTTAGGGTGAACGCAAAATTTGGTGAACGCGCACCGGGTGAGAATAGCCACAAGACTCGCCTGCACTATTCTCACTCCGGGTGAGAATAGAGGTGGCCTTCCCGGTTACCGGGTCTGACACTTCGATAGAAAAATGGAAGTCTTGTTTCCTGACAATCCTTTCGAGCTCATCATGTCTAAGTGGGTCAATTTCTTCTATAATTTCATTGGACGAACATCTAGAGCTACCAACTTGGCGTGTTTTGAACGAGACGTATGCCTCGATTACGAACCAACGCAGGCGGTTCTAGATCTAGAAAAGGCCCCCAAACGCACACAAACTCAAGCAGACAGACGCACACAAACTCAAGCAGACAGACGTACACACACTTGACCTGCGTGAATGGGCATCCGACTCGGGACCCGAATTTCACGCAAGATGATGTGCAGTGTACGTGCGCTGAGCCAGGGGCTAGATTCTAGACTGACTCGGGACCAGAACGCAGGCGAGGTGCCGAAATAGGCTTTAAATGATATCGGCCGGGCCTCGCGACATAAACCCGGCCCCCACAGGGCGAGTGTTAATACATGTACAAAGTCTTGGGAGTTCTGAGCAGTACCAATCGTTTGTATCACTTTATGATTGTAACAGAGTTAGTAAGTTCCAGAATCTAGAGATCAAGCGGAGACAGGCGACCAACGCGTTGTTGGTGGAATTAGATGTGACGAAGAGCGGAACAATAAAAACAAAGAACAGCATACACGAATACATGTTCACTTACGGAGATTTGAGGAGCAACATCCAGCTTAAAAGTCTGTTGCTGTAACGTTTTAAGTGTTATAATCATGGTGAAGCTGTAGTATGTAACAAGGTTCACAAGTAAGCCCAACAAGTTGTCAGTGTTCCAAAATAGGATGACTCCTTGCTTAGACAGCCGCCATCAATTGTAGCCACGCAGAAATTGAAATATGATGCGACGGGTATTTTAACTTTTATATTTTTACTTTAAAAAATGTATCTGTTATAATATTCATTTATAGATATAAATTTCCATGCCAGAGAATAGTATAAAGTCTTGAGATATATTTTTGTAAATATTAAGATGGGCCTAACGACTTTTTGTAATTACGTTCCGTTACTAAATTAAGTGATTTCCGCTATTACGTACTTTCGCTTTCGACTTCCAGCAATTGCCAATTGCTGCTGCTGCATTGCAGTCTTATTGCAGGAGCTCACGGAACCGTATTGGGGAAATTGATTTTTCTTTCTGAACTTTTTACTTTTGTTCAGGCATCATGGCTAAGCAAGAAAACAAGGGCAGTGGTTGCAAATTCTATCTAGAAAAGAAGAAACGCTTTTGCAGGTTTGCCCCTAAACCAGGAGTGGATTATTGTCAGGAGCATGCCTGCATTCTAGGAGTAAGTTACTAACGAAGCCCGAAGCTTTGATTTTGCAACTGAATTAATAAAGCCTAGATCTAGAATCTAGATCTAATTATATTAGAGTCTAATCTAGAATTAGATCTAGATTCTAGATCTAAGCACTAGGCTATTCTTTGTTTGTTCCTTATTAGTTAGATCCATTATCCGATGGTACAATGAATTACAGTCGTACCTGTGTAAGACGGAATCGCCAGGGAGCCAGAAAAAAATTCCATCTAAGACATTTTCCGTCTTAGACAGGATAATTTAGGGGGAGATGGAGTTGGGGGGGGGGGAGGGGTTCAAAGGCCCAACCGGTGGGATCAAGGATCGCTTGTCCGATCGGCAAGCAGTGGACAAAACTTCTCACCTCTCAATTGCTATCCTGTCTGATAAAAATGACATGCATGCGTCAGTCTTACTTTTATCCAATTACCACCAGTGCTTGCCTTTCATAGGACTACTGTTTGACCTATTAAAAACAGAAACGTTTGAACATTTCCTTTGATTCCACCCTTAGCACCACCCACCAATGCCACCCCTCACTGCCATCATCATAACAACTTTCGAGGAACTCTTTTCTCAGCTGGCCGTACGATCAAGGCATTGGTCAATCTAATTTCACACCTCTGGCTTCTGGCTACCCAGGAAAGTTTCCGAAGTGGCTGGCTACTCGAGCACTCTCACTGGAAGTCGTGAGATTTCACCCCCACACTACACTACACTGACCATCTGCATCGCTCAGGGTTCACATGATGGGGTAACATCTACCCATCTACCCCCAAATTGCACCCCTACTCCTCTTCCTCGCCCAACGGCATGGCCATAGCGTTAAGTTTAGAGCCGGCGGAACCAAACTTAGGAGTTTTATTTCAAATCAGGGTTGAGCGAGCTAAGCATTTTCCGTGGTCTTAGACAGGTGAAACCCTCGGAAGGGAGCAGATTTTTCTTTCGTTTCCGCGTTGGACAGGTTTCCGTTTTATACAGGTAATTAAAGAGGAATATATATCAAGGGGGGAGCGGGGAGATTCCGTTTTACACAGGTTTCCATTAAGGCAGGTTCGACTGTACCTCTAAGAATGTGGTTCCCGTCTGTTTAGACTTAGCATCATCCACACAAAATTTCACTTGTTTGTTTTTAACAAGACAAGCGGAGCGGGAGCTTGCCCTCTGACCTAACAAAAACATGAAAGGGATTCAGAGGGCATGCCTCGCCTGAATTTGACCTTAATTTGATTTTGATGTTTTGAGATGGTTTGATAGGCTATCTCTCCATATCGGCATGCCCACCATAAACTGTAATCGTTTAGAACTAGACCAGAAGTAATCGTCAGTTGGGTCAAAACTAGTAGCCCCAAACAGGACCCACATTCTAAAAGTAGTAACTTAATGGTACAATTTTTATAACATGATGAATAGTCCTTGTTCTTTCAGTCCTTTACAAGTGGAGAAGCTTGCTCATTGATGTCCTTCTGTGAAAAATAAAATGTATCCTAGACGATCAGTAGGTGTCTAGATTCTAGAAACTTTAACTCTTTATCTCCGAGGGTGCTAAACCCTCCATGCCGGGCCTTCTTTTGGTGTAAAATCTAAAAGTGAATTTTGATATGTCTTGTCACTAAATTGGTCATTAGATCAAACGAAGTGACTATTCAGACTCGAGTCCGATTTAACAAAAATTGTATTCAGACTCTGAATCGAGTCCAGCTCGACGACCCTTCCGACTTCCGACCCTTCTTCCTAAATAGTTTCAGCATTTATGAAAAAAATTTTGATTATAATGACAACTTGAGCTTTAATATCTTTAGGTCTATCTAAACTGGCCCTCCCTGCATCATTAGTATATGAACAGAACAACCAAGTTGAGTTGACCTTGCCGGGGGCAAAGTTTATTATGCCGACCAATGAGATTACATGTAACGATCACGCCCTCTCGGCTTGCTGGGAGAAGAGGCGTTGTGGAAAAGCCCCCTGCTGTTGATTTTGTGCGATGTGATTTTTAAAAAATTATTTAGGCCTACAGAAAAACTGTTACACAACAAAATGAAATTAAACATGTAGAAAGACAAATGGTGGTGGAAGTAATGATGATGCTGTAGTGGTGGTGGAAAGACCCTGAGTTGTCAGTTACCGTGTACGTAAACACTGCCTTTGGGCAATGAGACTGCAGTCTTTTGACCTTTGACACAATTACACAGTCCTAGAAGGTAGTAGTGCTGGGACGATACCACTATTAAGGAATCGATGCGATACATGATGATACTTTTTCAAGGAATCGATTCGATACCGATACCTAGTAGACCTACTTGTACTTGATCGCTAAAATTATTTTTCTTTACCACGTAAAATCAACACATTAACCGCAGGATAGATATAGGTAGGAACAACCAAAGAACAATATTTTGAATTTTTTTCAACCAAAACAAATCGAAACAAAAGTGATTAAAATAACTGAACAATTTAATCAAATAATAAATAGCAAATGGCAACTCGTAAATCTCCTGTTACGGAATGAAACAAAATGTGATTTAAACTCACGATTTAAGAGATAGATTAGAGGCCTAACGCATGAAAATGTTAATGTTAAAAAAGAGAAGTACAGAACAAATCTGAACTTAACGTGATACATAAAACTTACAATTATTTTTACACATGATATCATATTAATCAGATACATTATGGCATAACTATCAAATAATAACGTAAGTGTGATTTGATTTCGAGACCCCAGTCTTCGTTTACACATGTAAAGGGTATAATGAGAGAGCGAGCTTACTGAGCATGATATTGAGCATTTTTTAAAGACAACAAGAGTATCATCCCTTGAATCAGTGAATTGCTTGGGAATAATTGTCCCCATGTATCGATCCTTTTTGAAAGTATGGATTCGATTCCGATACCGGTATCGATGCATCGAATCGATTCTCGCCCAGCACTAGTAGGTAGTTTTCTGACTTAATGTAAAATCCCCTGACGACAGTAGTTATATTATATAACCTCTTTACTCTCATATAACTCACTTAGAAGCCGAGTCCGAACAGATAAAACCCATTTTCAGACTCGAGTCCAGATAGATTAAAAATCTGATCAGACTTGAGTACGAATAGAGCTGGCCGAAATCAAAATAAGTGGGTATTCTCTGGGTTTGGCCCCAAGAGATATATATGGATTACTGACTTAAATATTCGGTATCGATGTTTTATCCGAAAGAGAGCGAGAGATGCGCTGCTGTTTTTTATTACAATATATATATGAGCAGTAATATGTCACTTGTTTTTAACAAGGGGGGGTTTCAGGGGGGGCTACAAACTGAGCTGTAATATTTTACTTTTGTTTTTAACGAACAGGGGGGTTTCAGGGGGGCATAACCCCCTGCATTTAACCACAATTTGTTGTTTTGCAATTAGGTTTGATATTTCTCGCTCGCAGCACATCAAACATCATATCAGCATGCGCGTCAATAAGTGATAATTTTTTAGAACCTCAAGTAATTGTCAGTAGAGCTAAAACCCACACTCTTTAGCCTAGTTATCGTTGGGGCCGAAATGGGATCCCAACAAGTGAACCTACTTTGTATAGTTCTTAGAACAATCTTCTAATGAATGAACTCCCGGTAAAAGCGAGACCTGTGTTTTTGGCAATTGCCGAAATGTTATTTGACTACGAAGCCTTTGCAAAGGAATGTGCCCGAGCCGCTGCCAATGGCTAGTCAGTACACTTGTCACTTGTTTCAACTGCGAGCCGCTGGGGCGGCTTGCCAGAAGTTTATAGGTAGTAACAGAAACCTTTGATGTGTATGATGGAAACCTTCTATCATAACAGAATCTCCTCACTCCCCCCTTGATAAATCCTCTATGATTACCTCTGTAAATCTGGAACCTGCCTAACGCGGAAACGGAAAAAGAAATTCTTTCCTTTTGGAGGGTTCTTTACCTTTCTAAAATGGTATGCTTTGCCCATTCAGCCGTGATTTGAAGCAATATAATCAAGTTTGGTTCTATAGGCTCTAAACGTATCGCAAGGGGAGGAAGGGGAGTAGGGGATGTGACTTGGGGGTAGATGTTACCCCATCCATGTGATCCCTGAACGGTGCAGATAGTCAGGATGTGGGTGTGAAATTTCACCAGTGCTTGTGAAAGTGTTCAAGTGGCAAACCAAGACGGAAACTTACCTGGGTCGCCAGAGGTGTGAAATTAGTTTGTCCTCTGCCTGCCGATCTGATCATACTGCCAGCAGAGAAAAAACTGCTCAAATTGTTGTTACATGGGTGGGAGGGGTGGCATTAGTTGACTGTGCTTAATAATAATACACCAGTGGGTGAGTTTAGGGTAGAAGCAAAGGTGTTGTAATGTTTCTGATTTTAATAGGTCTAAAAATGCATACATTATTAGAGAGAGGCTTGGATAGCGTTGGAGAAGTGTGAAGTTTGACCATTTCTTGCCAACTGAACAAACGACCCTTGACCCCACCAACTGCGCCTCTGGAACTCCCCTCATTCATCCTCTAAAATACCATGAGACGTTAAATGTCTTAGATGGAATTTTTTTCTGGCTCCCTTGCTGTTCTGTCCTACACAGGTTTGACTGAATGTCTAACAATCCCTTTCAATTTTTGTCAATGATCCATGAACTGATACAGTTGAGATTATCTAAGACGACCACCCTTTGTTGAGGAGAAAAAGCGGCCTTCTAAGACAGTGGCCATCTTAGGCAGGACTGATCAAAAGGAAGAAAACAAACCCTTTAAATGTTGGGGGGTTTTCATGTCAGACAAGGAAGACTGGGTGCCATGATACCAATAACAACAGGTGTATGGATTACAACAGCTCGCCTACAGCATCAAGGACAAATAAATCATGTATGGCAATACTGCAAGGGATGAGAGATTAGCATGGCCATCTTGGACATGTTTTTGTGCTGTTGTTTGATAGAGCATAATGGCCACGGATTCGTTGGACAGGTTTTTGTTTTAGGCATAGACATTTTAATAGAATAAAAGCAAGGAGGGGAATTGAAAAGTAGCTGTTTGCACAGAAGGTTGTCTATACAGGTGGCAGTTAGGGCAGGTTCGACTGTATTTTGTCCAGCTATAATTAAAATAAATCAAGTTTTAACGAAGGAGCAAGGAAGACAAAAATGATTCATCTTAACCTGGTTTTTTCTCATCGTACAGGTTGCATTGCACCAGTCAGACTTCTCAATGCTAGTGATGTATCTACCACATGCGTGCTCATTTTGTGTCTGCCATTGTAGCATTGTAGTTTCCTGTCATACTTCTCTCGTTTCTTCATATTTTCTTTTTAATTGTTTATCTATGTAATGTCACTGTTGTCTGTTGTCGTTTTAATGACTAAAGTTGTAATACATATGTATGTAACACTTTTAGCAAAATGAAGAGTGAAGTTGGTTGTCTGGAAGTGAACTTTGCACTGGTTTCAAGATCAGAAAGATTTCTGAATTGCACTGGTCTGACACATTTCACTCTCTTAACATGTGCTCATTCCAGCCTACATGATGTTGTTTTTTAATATACTTATAAATTGAGTGTGCAATGAATGATAAATAAAAGGTCTGAAATGAAATTATACTGATGCTGTTCTTGCCGCCATTACCAAAAAATTAGTTAACAAAAAAGGACAAAATGTTCATTAACAGATTGTTTCAGTATCTCATTATATTTTCTCATCCGATTTCTTTTTTTTTGGAAAAATGTTAGTGGTTTGCATGCTCACATCCTACGAGTGTGACGATTAAGTTAATAATTTGAGAGCACTGTGTTGAAGGCAGTAATGATGCGTGCTAATCATTTTCTTGACATATTATCTCCAGATTGAAATAGACCGGAAAAGAATCCCTTGTCCATTGGATCCAAGTCAGTATGTCGTTTTCTTCCTCATTTCTCAATGATGTCAATGGGCTGATTCATGTTTCACTTTTATCTCTTTATTTATTTTTTTTTAAACTATTTTTTCATGCCAATAATTATTATGGTAGGCTTATACTTTGTCTGTACAGAGAACGTAATGTAAATGCTTGTGTGTGGGTTAATAGGCCCATGGTTAAAGTCCTGTAATGAGCTTTCAGATTGATTGTGTTAAAACAAACAAAAACAACTAGGAGCTGGAGTGTCTATTGTAGGAATAGTATATCATTGTCATAACAGAAAAGAAAAACTATTTGTGTCTACGGAGAGGAGAAACATTTATGAGAAAAAAATACTGCTGTTTTTACCTTTATCTTTTCAGTGATGATCATTTTTCTTATTCCGTTGTTGAAAAGGTGGGAAGGGAATCTATCAAGTAAAGATTTTGAAGAAGGAGAAGTGTTTGCAAGCTGTTAAAATGCACTAAACCTAGGAAACAAAATTTTACAGGCGAGAGAACAAACTTTCATAACAATTGTTCCTATATCATGTATTTTTCATTGCTTTTTACAAAATATAGAATTTGAATCTTGTCAAAATATTTCCTTGAGCAAGTGCAACGGTACCACAGATTAGGAAAATGCAATTGAAAAAAAGGTGGCCAATGATATGTGTTCTTTCAAGTACAATCATGTGTTTGTCCTTTACAGTAACTGCTATGCTGACAAACTGCAGAAACATCTAAAAAAATGCAATGTGACTAAGCTTCGCAAGGTGACAGAAGAAGCAGTAAGTGACTATGTTTAGTTGGCCTAATGACATGTGTAGTCAGGTCTTCTAAGATTGAAACAAGAGCTGGTTGAAGAAGTTTGTATTCAGCTTGTGTTTTGCTGTCAAATTCAATCAAAATGTGCAGAGATGAAAAATATTTTGAAATGAACTAGTTTCATAAATTGCCATCTAGGTTGCAGAAAACGTAATGCTTTGTGTGTGTTGGAGGTTGTGTGTGTGTCTGGGGGGGGGGGAGGGGGGGCAGAGTTAGAGAGAGGGGGGGGGGGGGGGATAGAGATGTATGAAAGGGGGGAGGGGGGTAGAACAAACATACAGGCAGAGAAAGAAATCGTACTCATGTTGGTGGGAATGCATTTCCTCTTGCATTTCTTGTCTAGTCTTTCCATGTTGAAAAAGAGATGCACCTTTTCTGTTGACATATTATTTTTTTTCTGCTCCTGTCCTGTACTTTTTTTTTCTTAGGAATTTTTCTCAAGAGGTATCAACATGGGACCAACAGTTGATGTTCCCACGGAACAGAAAAATGTGAGTCAGTTTGTTCAACTTTGTCATGTCTGAAAATGATGCTGAATTAAATTTTAATCCATCACTAAAAGTTGGAAGAAAAAAATACCATTTGTCTGTGTTGTCAAGAAGTAAGGACAGTTGTACTGCCGACCCACTCCCTGCCAGCCCCCACCCTTGACATCCACCTTGGACTGTCTGTTACAAAAAATGATTCCTTTTGTATAAAATGGGGGAAAAGAGGTCCTTTTTAACAAAAAAATCCATTTTGACTGGAATTTTATTGCTGTTCTGGTTCTTGTAAAAGATACTGCTTTAATCAGGATATTTTTTAGCTCTACTTATTTTAAGTGGATAATTCTGTCTAGATCAAACTTAAAAGAAATTATCATTCAAACCAAAATTTATCATGGTGTGAATCTGTTTATAAAATGAAAACCACCAGATCTCGTTAAAGCTTTATATTTTTTTTACTGAAAAAAAAAATTTCAATGGTACACGTAAAAAAAAGCTTTGTACACAATTTTAGGGGGTCGGAGCTTTTTTTTTTTTTTTTTAAAGACAAAAAAGAGAGATGAAAAAAATGAAATGGATACAAGTTGAAACTTTGATTGATGTCAGTGTATTTTTCAAGGTTTTTAGGCCGTATCTCCGGAAAAGGCTATGTTTTTGCTGCATGGTTTCTTCAGGCTTCCACACAATACACAATATGGCTAATGCTAATGTCTGAAGAAATGTGCTTTACATTCATGTTCATGTATGTGCTTATTCCTGCTCTTTAGATCTCTGTTCGGGAAGTGACGTCTGAGCAGCTGGCTGCTCTGATTGAAAAGGTCAAAAAACTTTATGAAGGTGAGCTCTTTATCTCTACAGTCTTGCATACATATAGAGAAACATGCATGATGCAGTGTACTGATGTTCAGGTCCCAAATTTTTTCTGTTACAGGTATATAGTTGTTTGCACTTACAAAATGTATGTAGTGAAATGCGTACATGATGAAAAGATTTCTGTGTCCCACCGGTTTTGCTATGTGCGGTGTGTGATAGACTGTATTATGTAACTTTTGCAATGTAAATTTCTCGTCCAGTTCTGTGAACTGCGAGCATTGTCTATTTATTTTCTGTATGCAAATAGCCACTTAACTTTAATGCTTTTCCTTCCCAACTCAGCTCATGTTGACAAACCCGAAACGGTCATATTGGAACATCCTTGTGTAAAAACAGAATACAATGGAAAAGAGGAAGCTAATAATGAAGCAGGGGAGAGCACAGAGTTAAAAAAGACACTGGAAGAGAACCCTGGACTCCGTAAGGAGCTATTGCAACAGGTAAATTTTCTCAAAACAAAGACTTCATTTTTCAAACATAATATCAGGAATATTGTTTTAGGAGTGTGTATGACAAAGAAAAAATTCTAATTGCCTAAAAGTCGATTTTCTTCACTGGATCAGAAAGAGCTGTGGGAACGATGAAATTCACTGTTTAAATCATTAAAATCGGAAAATAAATTTAAAAGTAATCAAGATTCAAATTCATTCAAAAGGTAGAGAATTCACCCAGCAGGTAAAACAATAAAAAAGCAGGACTTTGAGGAGTCACACAATCATGTAATGACAATGCACATACTCAGCTTTTATGTTTTCTTGAGGTCAAGGTCAATATTGAGGCATACAAAGACTTTTACTTTGTATTTCTTACAGCTTCTTTTGTCGTTTTATCATTTCACCTGCAATTTGAATAAAGAGGGTGACCTCCCCTCTTTAATGGTTAAAAAATTGTCGTTCCCTTGTTTTCTGGTCAAAGAGTTTCTGTTTAAATAACCCTACCCTCCGAAAATCTTCATGACCAAACGCGCCCACCCATGGACCCTGTTGTCGTTTTCCCACAGGATTATTAATTAATTGCTTCCAGTTTTTTAAAAAAGAATAACTCATTTTGAAATATAGTGTTAACACTATTTAGGAGAAATGTGGCATGCAATTGACACGAAATCGATGCTTCACCTCGCACGCACTTTTCCAGTGTGCAAACTCGCACTGTTGACCTACCTATTGAGGGTGGTTGATTTTCAGATCAAAAGTCCTAAAATCTCGGTTTATGGAAGTATCTCGATATTGCACTTTATATATAATGGAGTCCGCTTAAACTGAACACAAGTAAACCAAAAGAAAAGAATATCCCTGTGCTTTTTGTTCTGTTTGAGCAACCTCTCTCAACCAAGAACCAAGCTAAATTGAAGATACTCTGGCGGTCCTGCTGGTTTTAGTATAATCGGACTACACTGTATTATACTGAATATAAAAGTAGTCTTGATGTTAGATATAGACAATAGGATATAAAATTGAAAGTGCCTGCGTACGCATTTTCAAAAGGTCCAAAAAGTTAAGGATTTCTTTTTATAGCCTGTTAGCTCCTCCATGCTTTGGGAAGAGAGGAAACCCTGTAAATTCCTATCCTTCATAAGCTTTTAGCGATATTTTTATTTCAGTTGTTCTGTGCCTATGTCTGAATGAAAATAGTCTGTGTGAGTGTGTGTGTGTGTGTGTGTGTGTGGAAATATATATTGCATGAGAAGAAAGGAAGTAGTAAGAAAGGTTTTGAAAATGGATATTCCAATGTAAAGCACATTGAGCTACTTTTTTAGAAATGTGCTGTATGAATGTTATATATGATTATTATTATTATTAATTCAACAACAAATATATGATTCCTTATTTTAGTTACTATTTTTTTATGTAACTTCATACCTTTTGGTCTGTCTGAACCGAAAGCTACTGCGGATGAATTTACAAAATGCTCTGTCAAACCTGTGTCTCCTTTTACTTGTCAGGCTTCTCTAGTGGCACAGCTGGACTCTCTCAGCTTGCTGGACAAGATAAACTGGTTTGTTGAACTTGGTGCTGGCAAAGGTTAGTACCTAGCACAGAGGCTTTATCATTCACGGCTTCTTTGTTTTTGATAACATGTTTATCTGGACAAGTTTTCTTTCTCAATATTGTTATAATCCTACAGGAAATACTGGAAAATCACTTTTCAGACTTTTGATCATTCTGGTCCTACCCTTATAGTCCTGCATTTCTCTGGTCCTGAGCTCCGTGAGAGATATGCACCATTACTTTAATTTATTGCTTGCACCTTCATTTGGCTTGTGTAACATTTTTATGCAGGATTTTACTGTATTTTGAAAAACATTTACCGTGAGCCTTAGCAGTGATGAATAATAAGATATTATCGTTCTTCATAATAAACACTAACTTCTTTTCTTTCGTAGTAACTATGGCTGAAAGTCATGGCATGAACAGGGGTTTCATTAGGATCCATAGAAATAGACTACTGATCTAATTTTTGCAGTCAAAATGTAGAGAATAAACAATTTTCAGAGATTTTATTGGTAAAAGAACATAACTTTACTTCTCTGTTTTTTGTCTTTGAAGCCCCCCCCCCTTTTTTTAAAATAATTTTTTTTTTTACTTTTGCTGAAATTGTAAGACCTGGGCTCAAGTGATTAAGAGGGTGAACTAAATATTATATCTCTTTTGGTTTAATTTAGCCCTTGAGCTTGTCTTTTCATTTCTCTTTAACTTGTTACAAGAAATTGAGAATGTGGAAATATAGGTTTATTTGTGATGGTATAACAAGAATTTGCAAAGTGAGCATAAATTGCTAACTCAGGGTTTTTTTAAATGTTTACTGCCTGAAAGGTGTCTTGTGCCCATGACTTGTTCAATATGTAAAAAGAAATAGACACAAATAAATCAGATTAACAGCATAGGCCTACTTAAAAGACAAACTTCACTGTTACTCAGATTTACTTTTATTGTGTTCATACACTATTTCATAACAGGCAAGTTGTCCCACTGGGTGGAGAAAGCCTATCAAGGCAATGAACAGGCATCTTATCTCTTGGTAGACAGGAGCAGTGTCAGATACAAGGCAAGTTTGACACAGTTTTGACTTAGGAAAAAGGTTGTAGGAAGCCTTTAATAGAAAGATGTGTTTACTAAATGACCCCTGAAGTATCAATCAGGTAGAATACTTTGTCTGTTCAATACAAAACTTTAAAGCAAAATTTGTGTGGTTTAACTCATCGATGGTGTTTTTGCAATGTGTTTTGTTTTCATGGCGACTGTAAAATATGGAAAGACAAGCAAATATGTGATCTACCCTGAAAACCTATTTACTTCTCAGCTTTCAACTGAATTGTTTTTGTGTGAAATTTGTGACCTCCCACTCGCTGGTCACAGTGCCCTAACATAATTGTGAAGTTGTCTCTGCATGGCCTTTTGCATAGCTGCCCACTGTCCCGGGCCATCCGTATTTTGTACAGATTTTCTTGAAAAATCGCTGTTGTCCCGGAAATACGGATTTTGACCGACGGTCCCGGAAAATAAAAACTTGGCAAGCATACTGCTAAAACAGAATAATTAGCCTTCTGTTGCTCTGGAAAATGATGAAAATTCGGGAGATTCCCGAAAAATTCGGGAGAGTTGGCAAGTGTGCAGTTTCAACAAAGTCAGCTGATACGCATGCGCGGCGCTCGGCTTCTTCATTCGTTTGAAAAGATGGCGTCAAAACGTTCGGCGATGAGTTCTAAGTCCGACTCTGGACCAAGTAAAGCAAAGAAACAGAAAAGGCAGCAAGTTTTTCTTGACAAATACAAGGTGTCCCTGATAATTAGTCAATGTCCCTGATTTTGAGCAAGGCTGTCCCTGATAACCTCATAGAGGGGTGGGCAGCTATGCTTTTGTGCCCTTTTAAATTCGTTTTTTTTTTAAAAATCAGTTGAGTTTATAATCATTTGGTGATTTTTTTTTACCCGTTGCGTTTGAATTTTGATTGGTCATCATATCATCAAACAATGTAGCTTATGGACTGCCAGTGATTCTGAGCAATCATGAGCATGGCACCAATGAGGTAGTCTCTGATTTTAGGAAAGAGTGTGATACGGGTAAAGCACATGTAGACATAGGTCCAAAAAGACTGTCCAGATTAGATTGTTCTTGCTGAAATTACAGTTTTATCTTCATGGAATCAAATGTTCTGCAACACAGGGTCAATTGAAAATATTTGTTTGATAAAGGTCTTTGGGGGGAGGGGAGGGGTGGGGGGGCGTCGTATGACAGCATGCAAAACGCACAATCGATTTGTCACTTACAAAATGCAGATGTTTTATCCTTGATTTAATTTCCAACAATTTGATAGAGATAATGTCTCACTCTTTTTGTTTGGTAAGCTTGTGAATGACTCGAGCTCCCAGTCATTGGTAATTTATAAATCAGTTAAAGGGCTCAATCACAGAATTACTTATCAAGTTTATCAAGCTTCCCTTTCCTTTGAAATTAAGTATGTCTATTTGTTCGTACATGTTTTTTGGTTTGCTTTTCCAGATGGATTCATTTCACAAGGAAGACAGTGGTGCGTCTAAATTTAAGAGAATCAAGGTGGATATTGCAGATCTGTGTTTAGGTAATGACGGCCATAAAACTTCAGTGAACTCATTCTGTGGAGGACAAGCCCCACTAGTCCACTTACAGCTTTGTCATCATAATGCACTGCAGTAGGAATTGACAATGTGAAGCTTTGGAACAAAATATTTTAGTTCTTAGTTGCCATGTTCTGATAATCATGAAATATAGATGAAAATGTCTTAAGGAGTCCAGACTTTCTCTAAGTCTACCTTACATACCTTTGGAACTGTGGAGTTTAAAACAATTAGTAGGGTTCTTTGCACTTGTCTCCTATGTGGCTTTTTTTAGGATTACTTATCAGGAAACAATAACTACAATATTGAAAACGCCATTGTTAGGGGACCATACACCCCCTAGCATTAGGGGTTAGGGGGCCGTATTTTGAAGCCATTTGTAACTCCAGTGCAATAAGAGTTCGTTTCCGGCCCTCCCTCAGTTCTTACAACTCTCACACTGATAGGTCTACTTGAGCTGAGTCATTCAAGTTATTACTCTACTTTGAGTCTGAGCAATAATCTTGCTGAAAAAAATAGGGGTTATGGGTTGTTGGTATTCTCTTCAAGCAGGCTCCCAAATGCCATTTTTAACCCTCTAAAAAAAGCACTGAATTTCAATTTCTTCAGGGGCTTCGCTCCCTGAACCCCCAACCCTGCTGGGGGTCTTTGCTGCCAGAATTTTCTTTACTTTTCATCTTCAGGTGTTGGAAGCACTGGATGACATAAAATGAAGGGGGAGTCACATGTAGATGCCCCACAGCAAGAGAAAATGCAATTTGATTAGAGAACATATTTGGTTGAAATTGATTGTGGAAAGGGGTAACACACCTTCAAAGAAGTACACTAGTAAAGCATAGATCTTGTAGGCCTACAATTTAACTGTTAAAAATTGTTCTACCTTAATACAAAAAAGACGTGCCGGTAGCTGTACCCAGCAGTGATCTCATGCACTACGATGACTAATGGTACACATAACCATCTTCTGCTGCAGTTGCACAATTGCCACCAACACACTTTTGATACATGTAATTTTACTTGACAACATAAGATACGATCCCAAGCATCAACACTTTCACCTAGGTTCACATGTAGATACCCCACAATCGTAATCAGACATTTTAAACATTCTCCTAGTATTTGTATATCTCCTAATGCCAGGAGCTTTGTAAACTGGCCGTTTTCCTCCAGTATCTTTTCAAAGTCCAGGTGCATGCAAATCTGTGTACTGTCCCTTAATACCAAGTGTTAACACAATGAGGGCGTACGGTCCCGTAGCGGGGGGAAGGGGCATACGGTCGCTTAAGAACCGCCCAATGAGGGGGGGCATACGGCCGCATAGCGCCAAACACTAGGGAGGGCGTACGGTCCTCTAACATCAGCCAATTGAAAAAATTCATGGTGTTGTCGCCTTCCTCTCTGTCAATTTATTTTCCTTTATATAAGTGTTTGTCTGTGCGCATGCTTGTTTGAGTGCACCTTGATACTTTTCGGACATGGAGAAGGTTGTCTGTTACTATACTATTGTCTTTCTTCGTTCTTAATTATTCATGAAACCTTAACCATGTGTTGCTTTTAGTTATGCAATCGATTATTTGTCTTTGTTATAAGCTCAGTAGGAGTTACATTAATGTGATAATTTAGTGACAAGGAATAGTTATGCCAGTGGTTGTAAAGATCAGGAAAAATTTCTTCCTCTGAGATGTGCCAAAAAAATAAAAGACTTCTGTTATTTGTCACAGCATAGAATTATAAACATTGCGTCAATGTGCTCTTTTAATTTGTGACAAAACTCACTCAGTCTTAACCATGTTTTGTACCTACTTTAGGGTATGTATCAGATGTACGACCTAAGGACTCCGTAGTTGTTATGGGCAAACATCTTTGTGGGGGAGCCACTGATCTCGGCATCAGATGTGCTGTGGACTCTCTGGGAATACGCAGATCAGGGGATGAGGGCAAGTCTGAGGCAGAAGCTAGTCAAGAGCCTCCAGCAAAGGCGCAGAAACTCGTTGCAGAGGATGATGGTGCTGAGAAAGGGTCAAGGTAGGTCAGAATTCGAAGCCACCATAATTGAAAGGGTGACTTTATTTAGGCCACATATGGCCTATATAAGCTAACCCCCCCCCCCTTATTTAGGCCACATATGGCCTACGTAAGCTAAGTGCCATGCCTAACCTTATTTAGGCTGCATAAGGTCCTTTTCTGTATCTAAAAACTGCCATCGTCTTCTTCTCTCCCTTTTTTTGTGTTTGTTGCCCTTTTGTAACACCTCTAATCTTTGGCATTATGACCTAATTGTGTTGCAACTTACTAAAACTAAAAAAGTAAATTGTAATGTGAGTGATTTGTATAAGGCTTTTGTAAAACGATCATTTTAAGCGATATTGTAACTGTTAATTTCTGTCTCAGTTGCTGTACCCTGTTTTCCATGTAGTGAACAAATTGGAAATTACATTTGAACATACAGATAAATTTACTACTAATTTTTTTAAATAGCATATGGAAAAAGAGGATTTAAAGAAAACATACACTTCTAATTTGTTAACTAATGAATTGAACAAGTTTCAAAATGAAAATATGTCAAAATAAAAAGAAGAATATTTGCCTTTGAATAATGAATGGCTGAAGGTAGTAAATTGATCTATCAGGTGTGATCATCAATAAGACAGACTCATTTTTGTTTAAAGTGCAATATTTTTATGTTTCTTCTCACCGTCCAGTCTTCCCCGAGGCATCATGATTGCTCTGTGCTGCCACCACCGCTGTGACTGGGCCACGTATGTGGGCAGAGAATTTATGCAGAACTGTGGGGTCACTCCAGTGGAATTTGATCTGCTGACCCGACTGAGTAGCTGGGCAACGTGTGCAAGAGGCAAATGTAATACTGTTGTACTCAGATCTACTGTATTCTAAAAATAATAATATGTTTTGCAGTGCAATGGAATCGGGCGCTGAGCAATTTTGTAGGCCTACTATTTGTAGCATAAGGAGTTATTGGTTTCAAATTAAAGCTTGTTTATTTTTCTTGAACTTGTTGAAAAAAAATTGTTTTATCTTGCATAGTAGTCGAGATATGTGTGATTTCATGATGCACGACCAATTTATGCTTGTTACTGTTAAAGCAGTTTTGGATCCCCAGGGACGAAAGGTTACCCTAGATTTAGCAACTGATTACTTATAATTAGATTCAGTTTGTAAATACAACAGATTTTGTCCAAAAGCAAATGATTGCTTTATTTGGAAAAGGTTATTAGTTCAAAAGAAGCAGTGCGTTGAATACAAGATATGACAAACAGTGGTTCGTCATTATGGTGATCATTAACATGATGCTGATAAGCCTTAAAATTAATTGAAGAAAACAAACCAAAAAAAATACCAGTATTGTTCCTACTTCAGATCACGATCATGATATATCCGACCCGCCACCCACCCCTCACTTGTAATCAGTTCTTCATCCAGAGGGCCTACCTTCACGTTCAAACAACCACGCACACACACACATGCACGCAAACACACACATGCACGCAAACACAATTATAATTCACACACCATATGGCCCAATGCAGTGCCACACTGTCCATCTTAACTTAATTTAATTATACCCCACCACCCACAACCACCCTCCCATGGCAAAGTTCAAGGAAATTCTCGTGCTTTACACACATTATAGTATAATAGATAACATGCGGTGAAACCAGCAGTGTGTGTAGTGTATCATGCTGTGTGGGGGCGAGTATGGTGAGCTCAAGAATCCCGATACTCTTGATGTTGGTGGATGTGTTGTTTTCCATCGTGCATGCAGGATGAATTGAATTTGAGATAATTAAGAGGAAAAACTTTGATCAGGTTTTTTGAGACAAGATGTTCGACAAATCCACGTGCGTGTTTGAGAAAACAGTATTGTCAATACAGAGAAAACATAGCGATTCAGTCCAGGGATGGCATATTGTACGAGCTGTCCGTGATTTCGAGTTTTGAGTGTTTGTGTTATCTGTGTCCGACTGCATTTCTAAACTGCATCTTAAAAATATTCTGTTCGTAGTCAAACCTGTCCAAGACAACCACTGGTTGTTGAGGAGAAAATGTCCTGTCTTAGACAGGTGGACATTTATTTTTAGACAGTGTCATTATAATATAGAGAAAAAACGCAAGAGGGGCAGTGGGCAGTGGTTGTTTGTATTATATATGTGATTGTTTTGAACAGGTGGTCATTAGGGCAGTTTCAACTGTATTTTGATATATGAGCTTAAAATTTAACTTCATTGTTCCTCTGTCTGCAATTTTTGTTTGACAGGGAGAAACTTCTCTAAAGACTCAGCTGATGCTACAGACTCACCAAAAGATCTTGGCCCTCAAGAGGACCGGAAAGACAATGCAGGGGAAATTGATGCAGATGAGCAGCCGGGAGATCACGTAGCTGATGATTTAGTCACATCTAAGAGCAGGTACTTCTGTCAGTCAGTTTTATTCACTTATTAGAGGGTACACAAGCTGGGTGAGCCAGCTGTTTATTAGCTCAGTTGGCATTTTGTTGGATTATGATGTAGAGTACCTTGGTTCAGATCCAAAATGAAGCATTGTTGAACTTTGGGTGGGGGAGTTGTTGGTGGATTTTTTTTTGGCTTCCAACCTCTTATCTCATTTCCATGGAGGCTTGATGTTTCTTTTGAAGATCCTGCCTCATAAATAAGTTGTTTAATATTGAAAAAGTCCACCACACATTACTAGAGCTGCATAATATTTGCCAGCCAGAAATATCTTCCCACTGTAGCTTTGGGATAGTAACATATTGTGGAATCCAACTGAAGCACTGTATTGTGGACCCCCCCTGCATTTTTTGTTCTACATCAGCCAAGATCAAATCAGATTTAGACGTTGAGTTTGAAAAGACGTGTTGAATGTGTGTTGTTGTTTTTTTTTACACAGAACATGGTTTGAGAGTAGAGTGACCCCCAAAGTTTATCTTAAAAAATGCAATGTCTCAAGAGAAGTGAAAAACTGATTATCAAAATACTGCGTCTTATTGATACATTTTTCCCCACATAGAATTTGCCCACTGTTCCTATTTTTCTTTAAAATTGACTGAGAGGTAAAGAATGGTACCAAAATGCTCAGTGGATATAGGCCTTTCAAACGGAACAGATAAATTTGGCCTACAGCTACTTTGAAAATTTAGTTTCTGGTACCTACTATTACTGTGGTTACACATTTAGTTTGCCCACTGTATAAATGGATACCGATTTGGAGACTTGATTTCTTGAGGATACTGGGCAGACCAATGCAGAATTGATTATGTTGAAGTACACAAAAAGTATTTTAGTGTTAAATACATGTATTGGAGACATGTGGCAAGCTTAAAGATTATGATGAAATTCACCACGTTTATATAAGAAGAGCCAGTAACCAAGTCTGAGTATTGTATTTTATGTTTTCATCTCTTTCAGCAATGCTCTCAGAGAAAGCCTCAGTGTGACAGTCCGAGAAAACATAGGCAGGAAGTGTAAGCGCCTCATCGACACTGGCCGACTGCACTACCTGAGGTCTAAGGGCATGACATGTTGTTTGAGAGAGTATGTGTCAGGGGAAATCACCCCAGAGAACGTGGTGCTGCTTGCTCATTGTGAACCAGTCTCTTCATCCCCTCACCGAAAAACCACTGAATAAAAGTTGATGTCTTGTTGCTATGGTAGAAATTTTGTTCTTCTAACGTTTATACAAGCCTTGCCTTTTTCTGCTTTCTGCCTCTACAGTCATCTTCTCAGAGTTATCTCACTGTGAACAATCACCACACCTGTGTAGTATTTGGTAATCACTAACTGAGGAGTTATTTGAAATGAACTATCGCAATTTTGCAATTATACATTTCGAGGGCTGCCAAGTAAACTATGGTAAGTTTTTCAAATTTAGGCTCCCTTAGGAAATGTGTCGCGACGTGGTGGAATCAGGCACTTGTCAATTTTAGGACATGTGGAGTTATTGGTATCACTTTACAGCCTGTTCAATGTCTTGCTTTTGTCGAAAAAAATACTCATCTCTCATGAATAGAAGTCGAGATATTAGCAATTGAAGGAGATGGGGTCGTCTGGTTTAAGTGGTAAAATTAGCGAGAAAATGGCATCCAAAGTTTGGCAACTTCCAAAGCTTGAGAGTCCTTAGAAACTGCAATTTACATTTTTGTGCCCTAAATCAACTTTTTTTGGTGAAATCCACATGGAAATATGTTTTTAAGTGGACCTTAAAAGTGTTGAGTAAAAAAACAAAAATTCGATCAAAATTGCCAAACGGACAGAAAAATGCCAGTTTCTTCAATGTTATTATTTTGACGAGCGCCTGATTTCACCACGATGCCTCACAAATGAAGTTAATCCACCCAAAATGCTTCAAGAAAATCTGTTTTTTGTCTCTACTGTAAAATTTGAAAAACATGACTTACATAGTTTACTTGGCAGCCCTCCAATTTATAATTTCTAAATAGTGAAACTATCACAACTACGCGATATCATTTAGTTGAAGCTGATAATCAAACCTTTTCGCTTTCTAATGATATGGAAAAGGCTCTTGTGTGTGAAAAGTTAATTAAGTACATGATATTTTTACTGCAGCATACTACTACTTGGCACTGTTATTTTTCTGTTTCAGTGCTTTCTGTAAACAAACTAACCATGGTAAGTTAAGTCTATAGTGTCACCAATATCTACAATGATTTCAAAACAGAACATTTTTTTATTCCTTTGAGGCAAATGATGACTCTGAGAGTTTATAGCCTACTGGACTCAGTATTTTATGATCTAAATAAAAATGAAGAATATGTGCCATCAAAGAAAGGTACATGATAATGATAATGATACAAAGGTACATCCATAAAGATAATTGTCGCAGGGTCCATAAAGACCATTGTCCAGTCTCAATTTTTGGCTTCATCTTCATACACATTAAATTAATTAATTATAGTACTGTTTATTTTCAAAGCATTCAGTCATCAAAAGATAAAGATTACGAAAATTGGTTGAGAAATTGAGTTATTATTTTAACACCCCCCCACCCCAAGATTGATTGGGAATACAGGGCCACCCAGAAATATGTATCACAACGCGGTAGAATCAAGCGTTTCGTCAATTTTTGGGTATGTGGAGTTACTGGTATCACAAACTTGTTCATTTGACTAACTGTTCATGAAAAAAATGTATATATCTTTCCTGAATAGAAGTCAAGATATTCGCAATTGAAAGTGAAAGAGGTGGGGGTTTGAGAGTTCTTGGAAACTGAAAATTTACATTTGCTGTGCCTTAAATCTAAATTTTTCAGTAAAATCTACACATGAATGTTTTCAAATGGACATACAAGGTGGTCAGCCAAAAAACAAAAATACTAGAAAAAAAAATTCAAAGTGGCAGAAAAATGTTGATATCTTTGATTTCCTTATTTTGACGAGCTCCTGATTTCACCACATTGCCTCACAACATACGGTTCTCAGTGAGTTGAGGGAGAGGGAGGCTCAGTATAGAGCCACAGGCGGATTTTTGAGTAAAGTGAACATATTGATATAATAAATGACTTGGAAAAAGTCATACAGATAGACAGAAAAAACAAGAGGGAAAGTAAAGAAGTAGGACCTACCAGTGGTGCCCTCCAGAAACCCCTGACAGGCGGAAAGAATTCAATTGAATTCAAGAAAAAAGATGTCACAAGCATTCTTTAAGGAAAGAGGAAAGCGAACACAAAGTTTGTTACTTGACTTTAATGATAGTCAAAACAATAGATGGAGACTAATGCTCAACAAAATAGCAGTCTGGGGACTGGGAAAAAAACAAAACTGTACAAAGCATTGTAACATGACGTTCCAGATGCCCAGTGCTTCGGGCAACAACATTTACTACAAATTTCATTCAATGACTGAACAGAAAAGAAAAAAAAATCCCTCCCAAATTCATGTTGCAAAATGAATCGATGAGGAAACAATTCATAATGACTCACTTGTCAGACACATGTAGGCCTAATCATTTCTGTGATGTACGGTACTTCTGGTCTTAACAAGAGGATGAACGACGCCTTAATGGGGTATACCACAACATAACCAAATGGTCAGCAGCAGTCTCATTAGTGTTGAGAAGGTCATCTCGCAAAAATTTTCTTTCACACACAATATGGCAATGAATGAGACAGACCTTTCCTGTCAATAACTTCAGCTTACTGGTACTGGTACTCTCAAAATTTGTCCCTAAGCCAGAGCAAAAGAACGCAAGAGCACCCATTAAAACTTGAAACAGTGCAAAAATGTTGGGGAAGTACTTTCAATCCAAGCATCAGAAACACTGTAATAACAACAACATTGTATCTCCTACATGGCACACGTGCCACACACAAGACAAGCGCTGTAGACCGTCACATCCATGATATGCAATACCTCAAAAGAAAATTCAAACATGTAGGCCTAATTATTGTAAAAATTGGACACTAAACCAAGGTTGGAATACATGCTGATGGCATGACGTAAAAGTTAGCTGGTGGGTATGGGGGCAGGTTAGGGCTGAGTGGGCAAAACAATTTCCGCCTTCAACAGGTCAAAACCCTCGAAAGGGAAGGAACTTTTCAATCCATGCCAAGGTTATGAAAGTTTCCATTTTGGACAAATGTGTTGTAGAGGAATTTCTCAAGGGAGGAGCCGGGAGATTCCCTCAAGACAGGTTTGCATCTTCCATAGACGGTTCAGGCATGGCAGGTTCGACTGTAGTTCACTAGTAGTTGTTCTAGAACAATGTGCAGAGAAAAGAGGAGAAAATAGACACTTCACATATCTACCCAGGAGCAAGAATAAAAAGAAATTAACAGCTTTAAAATACTACACAAGATTACACATGCTTCCATGCTGTCTTACATATGGCTGTCTGTGAAAGACATTTCAAGACGAAATAACAATTTTGATTCAATTTTTAAAATCATAATTATAATATAATGCATTTTTCATAAAATTAAGTCAGTTCAAAAGATCTTAAGAAATAATATTGGGAAGGGGCAGGAACACAGTGGCAAAGTTTCAGCGTCAGTGACTATTACCTTTATAAAGTTTTGAGTTTGAGTAAAGAGAAGCATATCTGCACAATAACGGTCATATAGTCATATAGTGCAGGGAAGAAGCAAGACAGACAGAAACAACAGGGGGAAGGAAAAGAAGTAGGACGTATTAGTGGCGCCCTCGAACCACCCACCTTCATAAAGGAAAACAAAATAAAAGCATGATCCTTTTAATTTTAAGCACATGGCAAATGTCTCTAACATTACTCAGCCTCTTTGATAATGAGGGGAAAGCTGCCCAGTTCTATTTGCTTTAGACACTGAAACAGCGATTGAGTTGGAATAGTTGGATTCAGACTGAAAGGCGACATATATTGATCATTCACCACAAGCACACATAACACACTCTATCATTACAAAGCACTGAACCCATGTCTGTAAAATTAATGAAAACAACACCAACCACTCAATTTTTTTCTTTATCATTTATGATTTAGCCACAGTGTCATGAGATACTGTTTGTTAACTCCAATTACGAGCTCAGACAATTCAATAATAAAAATAATAATAATAATTGCATTTATAGCAATTTATATCTCAAGCCTTTATTTTATTTTAGTAGAGAGTTTTACGGCGCTCGCAACTGCATAAGGTCATACGAGCACCAAGGGGTGGGTGTCAACAGAGAAGTCCTTACAGGAAATCAGACTTGCTCTGCTCACCTCTCTAGCTTCAACAGCACAAAGTCTGCTTCAACTATCAAGGCAGTAGAGGAAAATGACAACAGTAAGGATTAGGAAAGGAAAAGTAGCAGTTCCCTGTTGCAGATCAGGCAGTTATGAGCGTGACATGATGAATCAGCCCATTTACAATTCTACTGTGCTTGAACGAGAAATGTCCCCCCTTTGGGAATGGCCTAAAGACACTAGTCAGTGGCACTGCCCCTGGGGGTATCTCAAGCCTTGATCGGTGATTTTAAGTTTAAAAAATTGACCTTCACATGCCTGTCCAGATAGCCATTGTAGACACGCACATATAGTGACAGCTAAATGTAGAACTCCACATCATACATCCCATTTCAAAATGGCATATAGAGTTATACACTATGCAGTTTATAACTAAACTCTGAGGCCATCCCACTCCCAGAGTTTTCATGACAAGCATAACAACAAATCATTGCTTTAAAAAAAGAAGTAAGCATAATACATGAAGATTCTTTTCCCTCTGAATCCTATCCTTGAACTGGCAATTTCGGTTCTCGAAAAAAAAAAAAGGTTCTAACCAGTCAATGTGGGTGAGTTAAACAGAAGCACATAAAAAAGAATATACCTTTGACCGACAACAGTCAAGAACAAAGTCATATGAAAAGGCAAGAAATTAAAAACCACCATCGGCACCAGTCAATTAACTACAACCTGGACAGAAGTTTACTTATAAACAGGGGGTCCAGTTTCAAAACCACATAAAAGTATAAACATATAATAATAACGCACATATGCTCAATAGCCAGATATGTTTGGAATGTAATCAATATCGCTGCTTCATTCTGGCTGTTATTCAGGGATTTACTACATTTAACATGTATAATATCTATTCAAGTTTCATAAAAAGAGGAACACAAAAGCACAGTACGGGAAATTACTGCTGAGATAAAGCAAAACCAAAGACTGAAAGAACTAAAGGATAATAGAAAAATCAGACAAACCATACCAATGACAGCCTTATCCAGCCGCATTAACTTGAGAATTGTAGAGCATTCTTGTTGAGGATAGAGATCGTGGAAAATATCAGAATAACCCTGGACAACTTGACAGTGCAATAACAACAAGCTGATGTCTTTACAACTTCCCAGATCAATCTAGAAAACCACTGAAGAGAGGCACCTTACCAGAAGTCACCCACTGCCATTCAAAGCCAAGTGTACACACTGATAAAAAAAACTAAACTAAAATTCGACAAACTTAAACGTACATGAAATTTTGAAGTGAGCCTACTGAAAGACAATGTTCTTAAAGCCAAGGAGTGTCATTCAACTTGAAAGATCAAACATGATGGAGACACATAAAACATCTCTTCTCCTTGGAAGCAAGTTTATAACATGATACCCTACATTAACCAAGCAGGTGACTGCTCTTTCACACTTTATGACACAAATGAACATTTTCCTGTTATCCAAACTAGTGAAAGTACAACACAAGAGCACAGTTCATGGAATATAGATTCAGTAACACACACTGGAGGCTACTACTCGCAAGAACTGTCAATGAACAAAAAGTATTTTATCTATTATCCGCTCTGTGACAGGGCAGCATTCATCCATTTCTGTGAAACAACTCATTTAGCACAAAAGGACTAGTAAACCTTTGAGACATTTTAGTCAGTTCATATCATAACAGAAAACTCCAGATCAGAAATTAATACGTTTGTTCATCACATTTTATTTGTTGTTGTTTTTTTCTTCATTCAAGTATATATATATATATATACTCTTTCACTTCCACCCTAATAACATTTTCAGGAGAAACACAGCAGATTCTTCTTCAGATACCTTTCATAGTTGGAATGTGAATTCACTTCATCATTCTCACAACTAATGGAACTAAATGAGGGTCACTGCATCAGTAACATTTTCCCTTTCAAAGGCATTAGCACCAGACCACACAAAAACACAAGTACAGTCAAACCTGTGTAAAACAGCCACCCATTTTCAAGGAAAAAGTGGCCGCATAACACAGGTGGCCATCTTAGGACTGGTCAAAATAAAGAAAGCAAACCATTTCCCTCTGAGGTTCAAAGCGGGCTGATCTCAGGCTATATCTGTCCTTACGGCAGTCCCAAGCCTGAGATCAGCCCCGGTTTGGACCGCCGTAAGTCAAAAGGGTTTATGTTTTCTTTTGAAAAAGGGTGGTACAGGGGTGTAAGAAGGTTTTTTGTTGTTTTGTTTTTTGATTAGCTTTTTTTCTGTTGCTGATTTTGTGCAAGGGCAAAACAAATGAATGTAAGGTGATGAAGGCCGAGTGCCATGGTAAAACAAACACTGGGTCGCCACCACTCCAAGAACGGGTGACACTTCTGTCGCAAGTTCACGTTAACGTCCATTGCAACTTTGTTATACATTATGTAAACAAAACGGTGACCAGTCACCTCACACACGATTTGTGCATGAGTTATGGGCGGGCTTATAGGTTAAGATGGACCACACACTTCCCTCACCAGCGGTTGAAAATTTATTGTTACCTATTGGTCAACTTGGGTAAACATTCATTGGAAGGACTAACAATAACGACAGGTGAATGGATTAAGATGACCTGTCCACAAAGTTAGGGGCCCATTAAAAATATTTGACAAAGCATCGGGCGTTGCGAGACCACGCCTGGCCGCCTAAGGCAGGTAAATTTGACTGTGGGTTGATAAAATAAGGTGGCCGCGGCCACGTTATTAGACAGGTGACAGTTTTACACACTTAAATTATATAGTAAAAACGCACGCAGGGAAATGGAAAGAGCCCATTTGTACAGGTGGCCATCATGGCACGTTCAACTGTATAAGTATATTATGACACCAAAACCAAGCCCAGCCCCTTTCTACATGCATATGTAGCTTACGCTTCAGCGTCTTCATCAAGAAGAAAAAGTATAAAGCCAGATTTTCATGATTTCGGTCTAGAAAATTTTTTTTTAAATTGAAATTTTCAATCGCAATGTTTCGTTATAAAAAAATATTTCAGAATTAAGCCATTGCTTTCTAATTCCATTTTTTTAAAAACGTAATTGTCCGCTATTCAGTACAAGTTTAGAGCTGCACAAAAAAAAGCAAACGGGAATCCCCAAAGCAGTTGTAAAGGGTTCTGGTAGCTGAGAAGTTAGTGAGCTCATGCTTACAATAATGTCACACATGTGTGGGCCACACAGCGTTTAGATCTGTGGTCACTGGGGTGTGTCCTAGAGCAAGAAACAAGTAAGCTAGCTAAAAAAACAAAACACTGCAGTGGCGACCAGCAATGGTGTGTAGATTGTCTTCGTTTGTAACAGTGTGTATTATTCATGCATAAAATGTATTAATGTATTTGTGTAAAGCATATTTTACGTGCGCCCTTGTAAAATTAATTTCCCTAAGGGGATTTATTCAGTGGAATTTTTATTCTAATTCTTACTATTGTTTAGCATATATACATGTAATAATATACATTTTAAAGATGAAGTGATTGCATGACTGCTGTCCATTAGTTGCAATGGTAAGCAATACACCTGCACGATAATCTAGACCCTAAGATCTAGGTTGTCATGCTAAATAGACTCGCGGACAGCCAGTACCACCCACCCCCACCCTAAGTTCACAAAAATTTCACTTTGAAAATAACAAAAAGTTTACTTCTTTCCCCAAAGCCATGAACTAGGGCACTAAAGATACTACCACACATTCATGGACAATTACTACTGTTGCACAATTTATTTTATTCTGGGAACTATTCACGCATAAACTTTTAAAAAATTGTCATCAGCATTTACGAAACTAAACAACATTCAATAAAACAATATCACTCAAGCACCAGGAACATGGGATGGGATGGGGGTAACATCCCGTTCAATTTGACATTTAAGTAAGAGGTGAGATCTCTGATTCAATACCCATCTCCGAAAGGACCAAGCCAAATAGAGTAGAGCCTCGAAAACTCAAACAGCACAGGCTCTAGAGCACTTCATTGGGGATCCAGTCAAAGGTCAACCGCACCACAGTCCAGTACGATACCCAATCAACTAATACATACCTACACCAACAATGCTAATCACAAACGCATTTTCAACACCAACACAAATTTTGACTACACTGAAACACACTCTCATAGTAATGGGTCAAAAACTACCATCTCAGTCTCACAGTATGTTGAACCATTGCCTTTGCAGAAATTGCCACACATCTCGCTGTTGCTGTCGGTGACGGCACAAAAAAGTCTAAAAAGACAATGCAGGTCATTTTGAAACCACAGCACTTGGTCTCTCATCAGGACATAGAACTGCCAGGAGAAAATACTCTTCAGAGGAAAAGAAAAAATAACCCCAGCCCTGCTCAGATTGTAAACTTCCACACGACAGACCAAGTCTTTAGTTAAGTTTAAATCAAATTTTTTACAGCGTTTGCAACTGCATACGGTCATATGAGCGCCAAGGGGTGGATGTCAACAGAGAAGTCTTTACGGGGAATCAGGCTTTCTCTGCTGACTTCTCTATTTACAATTCTACTGTGCATAAGAAGATGTTAATGTCCTCCCTTTAGGCTTGGGAGTGGCCTTCGCTCTGGGGGGTAGACCAAGTTTGTAACCAACTGCCCAAAACTAATCAGCCTAGTAAGACATACACTTCAATTATCATTGTCAAACTACAGCTGAGAGAATCACAAGTATTATACACTATTGAATCGAGGGCACACAGAAAATCATGTGAATGATTAATGACGAACACTCCCACTTGAAAACAAACTTTCACACTTAAATCAATTAGTTAATGACTATTACTATATTACCCTGCAAGTCAAACCAAAACCAATGGCTACCATGAGACATTCACTAGTCAACAAACACTGAGTTGTTCTAAAAAAGGTCAATGGCAGCTGAAGTATATTATATACACCAGAGTCCATGACTGTTTAAATATATGCAGAAGTACAAAGCTCCCTACAATACAATGGGCAAACAAGTCAATGAACGCTAATATATATACACACACCAGAGCCAGACTCACTTTCATATATGCTCTTGAATCAACACCACAAAGCAGCCAAATGAGTATTTTATTATTTCAAAATGTATTTATATACAAACATACTTACACCAAAGTAAGTTTAGTTTTTGGTTTTAGTAGAGGTTTTATGGTGCTCGCAACTGCATAAGGTCATATGAGCGCCAAGGGGTGGATGTCAACAGAGAAGTCCTTACAGGGAATCAGGCTTACTCTGCTCACCTCTTTATCTTCAACAGCACAAAGTCTGCTTCGACTATCAAGGCACCCCAGAAATAGCGAGTCACAAGAGAGTGACAAACATACAAAAGAAGTAGAGGCAAAAATGATGATAGCAAGGATTAGGAAAGAAAAAGCAGCAGGTCCCTGTTGCAATTCAGGCACAGTTATGAGCATGACATTGATGAATCAACCCATTTAATCATTTACAATTCTACTGTGCATAAAAACATGTTAATGTCCCCCCCCCCTTTTTGGGAATGGCCTAAAGACAACACCAGAATAAGAAACTGGAAACCATACTTATAATTCTAAAACATCAGTTTACCACCACAAGCTTTGGTTCAACAAAGAAAATTTTGATAAAACAATAGGAAAGTGCACACACGCCGCAATACATTCAAGAGAATCGCTGGAATTAAGTACTGTAAAATGACTCCCCAAACAGCAGTAATCATAATAATAGTAAACCACCTCGACAGCACCAAATCCAGCATGGCCTCGATCATTAAAACGTATAAAACACAAGGCTGAGGGGTGGACTTTGTTGAGGTGACGACTGTGAAAATCTCACAACATTGCCACCAGCAATCACAACACAAAAACCATTCAAGTTTGTGGAAAGGACGCAAGACCTTAACAAAATTGCCAGTTGAGTTTGTATTTCCCCCAGATCAACCGTTGCTTGGTGTAAGACTCTGCTATATGCCATTTTGAAAAGTGAGGTATGGCACAGTCTTACACTGAGCAGTCAAAATTGGTTAAGTCATTCAAATCTTATAGCATTCCAGCTAAACTTCAAATCCCTGCTGATTTCAAACATTGTGCAAACGTCACATCTGTACATCAGACTTAACTAAAGACTTGATCAACCACGAACATACAATTTAAATCAAACACGATAAAAGTGAACCAATCCCATCGCAATACATCCATAAACAATCAAACTCAACCAATCAATAATCATAGTGTAATCCAGTTTTTTTCAACCATTCTTCCTGTCTGTTTACCCAGACATTAATTTTGCAACCATGAGTCCATCACACTAGATCATATGTTCCAGTCTCATTCGATGGCAGTTTATGACACAGAATCTGGGCTTTTATATTGGCATTACACCATGAGTGCCTCTTTGCCCATGAACAACCCTCTCAGGATAGAAGTCAAAAGTCCTCTGTATACCTTGAAATCCATCCAGTCTTCCATCTTGATGCAATTGGGGCTATGAGATGCATACAGACCACATCCAAAATTTATACAACCACAGAAATGATTTTGACAAATTTTATCACCCAAGCTGCTGATGTTCAAAGTAAGTAAACTCAATTTTGATTAAGTACCCAACAGTGAAATTCACAACTGCTTTAATCTTAATGATAAAAACAACAATACTTTCCTCTGTATCTCCAACTCCGAATTTGAACACTCAAATAATTTCACTGAGACTGAGACCTTTTGTCACAAAAATGAGTAACCCCATGGCACAGACCATTGCACAGATGAAATCCAAAGATCGGTAAATAGGTCAAAAGTTAAACACAAACAGACACAGAACTGAAGAGTACTTATCTCCCAAAGTCAGTTTGCTGGTAAGTGCACCAAAATTTGCAGACTGCTACATCTTTGGAAATGACAGTAGGTGTCCAGCGACATTGCCACGTGCACTGTCTTCAGGCATCTGCTGTATGCACTAAACTTAACAACAGCCAGAGCATGGAATTATAACAAATTAGCAGGAGATCTGTCATCATTTCCCCAACACTTTCAAGTTGATTCGCTCCTTCCTACTCATTCTTATGTACTGCAAGGAGGTGTCATGAAAAATAGGTCAGCACCAATACTGAGCCCTGGCAACGCTAGAGCATGATGGCAGTGTAGAGATATGGTGAAATCAGCATCGACAGGGATTTATCTGAAACACAGTAAAACATGCAGACATTAGAAGTGAACTGACTTCAGACTAGGTACATAACAGCTATGACAGACCACAAGATAAGTTTCTGTTTGAGTAAAGAGAAGCACATCAACACAATAATGTTCATTTAGTTTCAGTGTCTTTAGAGTCTTATAGTGCTCACAGCTGCACAAGGACATTTGAGTGTGTTGTTCATTTAGTGCATAGAAAAAGCAAGACAAACAGACCATAACAATAAAGGAAAATAGTATAAGTAGGACATACTAGAGGTACCCTCCAAATATCCATGCAACAAGATGAGGTCTTTAAAAAAAGACAACCACAAAGCAGAACAAAGACTTTATATTTTCTCCCAAAAGTAAGATGAGGTCAAAATATTTCATGAGAGGAATATCCCCCTTTTCACAATGACAGACCATTGCCTCTTCTACCCCTTTCAACTTCCCTGCTGCGGAAAAACCCACAAGAAAATGTCTCCACTTCATTTCTTGTCTACAGCATGGTATTAAACAACATCAAAACTAACCTTTTCCCTAGAAGAGCTGAGACTGATATTACACATAATCTGTTTTTTCTAAAACTTGCGCCCTATTACAGGTTCTACGGCATGGTATGAAGCAGCATCAAAACTAACCAGAGACTGATTGATATTCCCATTATCTGTCTATCTAAAACCTCTTCTTCCCCATTACTTGTTCTACAGCATGGCATTAAACAGCAACAAAAATAACATTTTCCCCTCCCAACCAAAAACATGTGAGATGATTTGACAAAAAGAGATAATACTTGCAATCAGCAAATGGAGATATCAGCCAAAAATTTTAATTGGGGTAAAGTTTTTTTTAAATTTCAATTGACGCCATTCCCTTCAAGTTTAACATGTATTTTAATACTCCATTCCTAAGATTTCAATAAACTTCACCTATAAACTTAATGTATCTATTCCCATAAGATTAAAATCTAAGAAGTAACTCATTTTTTCGGCACACCTCACATATTACTATATCCATCTTCCCACATCTCTGTGCAGTAGGAGACATCTAAAAACTCCATTCACACCTGGCTACTGCAATAGAAACCCCAGACGCAGGTCCAAGTTATGTGTAAACCTATCCTACAATCTACTACACATTTCTACAATATTTTCAGAGTGAAATGACAATACCTTTAAAAACAGACTCATTGGAAAGAACGTGGACACTGTTGTAAAAGGACTGAGGGACAGCAGCTTTTCTGCGCAGCAAACAGCATTCTTTACTCCCAGGAGAGCTCCAGTCACGTCTGTCGACACAAAGAAAGGATCAACAATTACATTTATTTTCTGTCTGATCTTTATGCTTTCAAATTGCAAGCATAAACTACTTCCTTTTGGTGGGAAAAAAACAACTGGATACAAAAGTGTCAGAAATAAAACATTTTTCAGACTATACACCTATAATATAGCAAATCAAAAACCATAGTTACTGAAGATTTATAATCTATATAATATATATCATTCTGGTGGCCTGATCTTTGTTTCACTTTCTAAAAGAAACCACTCTCCCAACCTCAAAAATTAAACGAAGGTAGCATTCAGTTATCCTAATAGCATGACAGAGACAGATTTTCATGACTCTGAACGTGAGAATTTATTAAACTGTATTTTTCAGTTCCCATTTATCAACACAAAATTTACACTTTTTTAAAATGTGATCATTTTAATATTTCACGAGCGACTTGAATTCTTTGATTTCTTTAAAAACACGAATCAAGTAGTGCCCCCCCCCCCCCCCCAAAAAAAAAAGATGTGCAGTTAGTAGTCACAGGGGTGTGTTCTTGAACAATACACGATAACCTAGCTCAAAAATGGCACTGCACACTGGCAACCAGTAATGGTGTATATGGATTGTCTATGCTTGTAATATCGGTTTATTATTTATGCTTTTACCCACAGGGGTCAGTAAAGTGGAATTTATTATTTTTATTAAGTAGACATATTCCCAAGAGTAGTCACAATAAGACTGTTGGCAATTAGTCACAACTCTTGACAGTCGATTGCAACACATGATTGTGTAAGCCCTAAACTATAAGTAGTCATGTTAAAGGCACATGGTCAACTTGTATTTTCATATATTCCTGTTCATCAAATATTCAGTATCAGTCTCCCTGTTTAGTATTACAGCAGTAACAATAAATTTGGAGCAAAGGCAAAGACTTCTCACTTTCTACTAACACAAATCACTGAATAATCAGACAGCCACCGGAACAATCAGTATGGATACCCTGTGGGCTTTGGTGCTGGGAGGATCTGAGCACTTATGGGCCTGTCCGGTGTGCAATGACGTTGTTGCCCAGGACAGTTAAAGTTACAGTTATTCTAACAAATCACTGAAAATGAAAACTTACCCCCTGAGTATTTTTTCATCCACTTCAGTTAATGGCTCAATAAAAAGTGTGGAATAAAGACCTGCAAAAAAAAAAGACAGAAAAAGAGGATAGTTTAACATAACTAACACACATGTGTACATTTTTAAACTTTCAAATATCATACATGATATATATACCTGCAGATGAGGAAGAAATAAGATGTACCATGCCTTGTAACAAGAACTACTGACAGTACCCTAACCAATAAACTGGAGGTGACTTTTCAACCATTGAATGCACATGAATTTACATGCAACTGCTATAAGGATTATTTCTTTCCCCAGTGTCACAGTCCATTTCCATGCCACATTAGAAACTGGTCATCAGAAGTGCTGGGGTAAGATTAACTGCATGAACATTTCTGAATAAACCAAACGAGAAAGAGTGTCAATAAAGACTATGACCAAGAAAAACAAATGTGAAGCAAATGGAAGATGTAAAACGGGAAAACAGAGTTTTCTCTGTGTTGCTTGCTGTGTCAAGACTCTTTCAGTTCTTCAGAAGCAGGTAGCATTATCACACTGCTGTTATTTTTGCTTTCATCTTTCTGCTTACCCTAAGCGCCTCATCGGTCAACCTCGACTTTCGTGCAGCACACAACCACCCTTCTGAGCCCTGCCATGCAATTCTAATTTTCAAGGTATTTATTTTGTGTACCAATTTTTAAAAATATATTAATTATATTATATCATACTTTCGTTTGTTCATTAATAGAATTTTTGTTCTGCTTTCCTATTTTAGAAGTTTATTTTCTTATTTCATTACATGCTAGTCCATATGCGGGTCATTACTATCCATCTTATTTTGGGGTGGGTTTTTTTGACAAATATAATATGTTTTGTTAATTTCCACTACAAAGTACCTTGAGTTGACACTGCTATATTCAGTAAGATTATTTTTTTTAAATTGTTTTCTTTCATTGCACACAAGCATCACATTTCTATGTGCTATAGCTTTTATTTCATATAAATTTCAAAGAATATGGAAATAATAATAACTGGCGGCGACCTTAAACATAGAGCGGGGAAAAGAGGCTTGCAAGTTACTACAGATAGCAAGTATGGTAAAGAGAGAAAAGTAAACAAAATTATAGTAAGCAGCTTGTAATGATCACTCGCTGATAAGGTCAATCATTCAGAAAAATTTGGTCAGGAATAAACAGTTCATAAACACACTCACCTGTACACAAACTGAAGACAAACGTGAACTGAGTTTGATAAAGCTTCACCATAGTGCGACTGAAATTAAAGAAAGATGTCAAATCAGTACGTTAACAATGGTGCATGTTAGAAATATTGAGATTTTAAAACAAAATAGCCATTCTTACATCTCTGAGATATCGTTTAAAGAGGCAGTTTTCCTTAAAATGCCACAAAGATACAATTGAGTGAAATAATTTCAAATCAGTTCACCAACAGTGAACAAAAGCATTTATGACATATCAATAACAACGAAAAGAACATGATCACAAGATAAGTAATGGAGAAAAATATAAAACAGATGATAAATATATCACAGCAAAATGTTCATATGATTAATGTGACCAAAATTTATAATAAAACGGTTCAACTAGAGCCCACGGAAACTGCAATTACAAATGGAGTCAACAAAAGTATCCAAGAGAAATTCTTGTAAAACGTCCTAGACAAAGTTGATGAAACAATGCAGTATTTCATCCTACCTCGGCTTGCTGCGTTCTAGAGATTCTTTGGCTTGGATCAAGGCATACACAGTTCCATACACACTTTGACTACTTGGACACACCTGAAAAGCAACAACAGAGAGAATATAAGGCATGTGTGGAAGCTTCTTTCCTCCTTGAAGACACATTTTAAAACCTTCGGTTGAATTTCTTGTCCTTGTCATTGACTAGACAAGTAACACAATTTTCAACTTTCGTAAAATCATTCCTTGGTTTGCATGACCAGAAATGGCAAGCACTGTAGAAATCTTTATCAAAATCGATTTTGTTCCACAGTGACACAGTAAGATAAGCTCTGCAAGCATTCCTGCATAAATAATCAGTACAAGAACACAGCTCACAATAAAAACCAATTCTGAAAAGAAAAAAACCTCAGCATTCAATACCATTTAAGCTTGCTGATAAAAACAATTAAGAAAAGACAAATGCAGTTTCTGGGACACCTGAACAGACATAAAGGCCTTCAACATCTAGCTCTCACTGGCAAAACCAAGGGCAAACAAGGCAAGGGTAGACCCAGAGCAACCAACTAAACTTGATCACTAAATCACCTCTGATGTATTCTGGCTTCTCATCTTATTTACTTAGATTACAGCTACAAAATGCTTCAAGGCCATCAAGGAATAAAACTATTATCTACAAAGGAACATTCACAACTCTTCCCTCCCACTTTGAGCAAAATATAGCGAACAAATTAATTGCTGCTATTGTTGTCAATGAAAACAACCATGCTAGACCCATTACAAATTATCTATAAGATAGAGCACTTGGCTCTCCTTCTCGGGGCATCAGGCACAGAGGAATAATGCTCCAAAAACGAACACAAAATTTCAGATCTAGCACGCATTCGAACCAACAATTCCATGGTTTAGCCAAGATCAAAATCCCACTGTGCAACAGCCACTAGAGTAAATGACTAAATTATAATATTTTTTCAAATCACATAAAGATGGACCACACTCCTTTATAAAGAAAGGGAATGATTCTCTACTTACGTCTAAGATCTGCAAGTCATAGTTACAGAAGGCCACATATCTTTGGCTCCAGTCTGCATCATGGCGGATTGCTTCCACCATGTAATGCTCAATATCAAAGGTCATCTGTAACACTGTTATCTGTGGAAAACATTTTTAGGTTCATGAAAAGTTAAAGACACATTCCCCACTCCCCTATATCTATTCTAGTCTTCAGGTAGTGAAATTCAAAAAGTCTTCACAACCGTTTTCAATAGAAGGCTAATTATTTAGGGAAACAGTCCTAAGGTAGTCAGCCCTATCTAAGAGTAGTACCGAAAAGTGATACATGCCACATTTTCTTTAAAAAGGAAATTACAAAAGACAAGAATGCACAGAGGAAAAAAAAAGACAGGCATGAAACAGAAAATCCTTTCAGTGTTTTCATGGTAAAATCAGGGGAAAAAAGTTATTTAGCACAATAAGCACCTGACTGGCACATCAACAATTTTCCACAAATAAAAAAAACAAATCGAAAAGCATAATCAAACTGAAAGCAGTAAGATATGGCTTCAACTACATACCAGAGACATGTCGTTGCGTACAGTTCTGATGATATTGAGTGGCTTTTTATTCCACACAACCTGAACAGGCAAGATGCTTTTGTAGGCCAGATCATAATCATCTGAAAGGATAAGTTAATTTAAAAAATCAAAAGATATTATCTAGACTTCACATCAAAGAGCTAAATACATCAGTTAAACCAAAATTTCACTTACATGTGGCAAAAACATCACTTCTGGCAACAACAAAATATCCTTGACATTGAGAGTAAAATGGTTCATATAATCAACTATGTAGTCATGTCACAGTGTCTGCACTCAAAGTCCAGCCAACTCTACTTATAGGACCTTATTGTGCTGCAAGTGCCAGTTTAGTTTTAGTGGAGGTTTTAAGGCGCTCACAACTGCATAATAAGGTCATATGAGCGCCAGAGGATTAAAATTGTAACACCTAGGCGCTTTGCTGTCGGATCAATTTCCCAGTGGAGAAAATTGTATTGAGTATTTCAACCTGTCACCTGGGACATTGTTTCCCTCTTAGCCTGGGTCAACCCTGACAGACAGAGCCAGAAGCCCGCCTCCAAAATGATCTAAATTGTGTTGATGGAGGCATAAAAGCACAAGAAAGAAAAGAGAATAAAAGAAAAAACAAAAGTAAATTCTTCAATACAGTAAAATCCTGCAAACTTGCTCAGACCACAGAGGTACACTGGCAATGAGTTATGCAAGATTCCCAGAACTTGCTGGAAAGCATGAAAACTAAAACGGCTCTGACATAAAATTCACAAAACAAGACATTAAGTGTTATATGAGAAATGTAAAGTGTAAAACATCTGAAATTTCTAAAGGTCGAGGATTCAGGGAAAATGCCACGTCCACACAAACCTTCCCCAGGCGTGGGAGATTCCTCCTCCTCCTCTACCTCCTGATCATGCGTTGAGAACCGTCGTATGGAGAACGTGACTGTGCGGGTGTGTGTGGTGTGAACAATTACACTCTCCGAGCTCTGTGACTGGCAGTCGGAGGCAGCACTGCTGCTAGGGGAGAAGAAAGATCTCTGAGATGAGAGCCTGACAGAGGCCAGGTCATCTGCGTCTCCCTGGCTACGACTGCTGCCCACGTCCACACTAGGACTTTGAACCTGATTGAAAGAAAGTGGCAAAGAATTCAAGCAAAGGTTCTTCTCCCTCAAGCAGAAGTAACACACTATATATGTTTGTTTAGTATAGGGTTTTACGGCGCTCGCAACTGCATAGGGTCATATGAGCGCGCGAAATACAAGTTGGTCTTGTTCACAACAGTTCACTGTATGGCTGGCTCGGGTCAGTAGTTAAGTCTTAAAATGTTAAAATGTTTAAAAATCAGTGTAAATATAACATATATTTTCAATCTAAAACAATTTTTCTAGTTAACTTAAAAATTTTAAACAGTACAATTTTACTCTACAATTTGCCATAAAGGCCAATGGCCTTCATAAAACTCAAAATTCTGCTGGGACCAACGACGGGAAAAATGTCTTGCAATTTCTTGCATTTATGATATTTCCTTTGGATCTCTCCAAAGTCTAGACATTCGGTTAAGATGTGTCTAATGGTAAAATCTGTGTCGCACACTATATATTGTCAAGTTCCCATGCAGTAGTGCATTATAGACGAGTATGGGCATTGTATTTTTCGACTCTAGGTCTCTTTGCAGAAGTGTCAGATCGTCATATGGAAACTAACAACAAATAAAAATATTTTGTATTGTGAAGAGGAGTTCTTGTACTAGTGATGCGTGAACCACAGCATTCTGAAGATAGAGCAGGTCCAGATAGAAGGATGAACAGAGAAAGACAATAATTGAACATGTTTTACATCCCATCAATCTAATATAGATTTTGTGATTTGTGGAATTAGTAACTTTAAGAAGGTAAACAAAACACGCTATGATGTAAGCAATGCTTCATAAAAAGTGGTGGAGCTTTCAAAATTCATTTACTGAGTCAAATATTTTATAAGGAAAAAATAGAATTACCTGAAGCAGTGGTGGAGGCGGTGACATGATATTTTCTGATGAATGAGCCGTATCCTGAGAGCGTTCGTTGAGTGGGGTCGAGGGCAGCAGATTGAGGTTGAGGGAAGAGTTTGTCTGCCCAAGCATGTGGGACACACGACCAGCCGCGTCCGACAGACCCGAACTCTTTGGGGATTTGGGCGACTTTGGAGAAAGACATTCATGACTAGCATGGAAATGACTGGACCCAGTTTTCAGCGGAGGAGCAGTACTTTCGTTGTTACTGTTACTGAAATTCTTAGTTCTTAGAGCCGGCCGGTGACTGGCCAGTGCGGAGCAGCCGCAGTTCGAGCCGGGCCGTGACGTATTGTTGGCAGTGGTGGAAACTGCCATCACACACTTTTCACACGGTGCACGCGAGCGGTCACAGCTCGACTTGGTTGATTTTGATTCACTTTGATCTGTGTCACTTAGCTCAGAAATATCCGCAGAATAGAAGTTCTCCTCTTCCTCTTCTATGAGCAGAGGCGAGTCTGGATTGTTCCTTTGTTTTGGGCTCAGCTCTTGGCCTGGGTCCTCCTGCTCTGTGAAGTAAGTACTCACTGTGCCAAAAATGGACAGGTCAGAGCCAAGAATGATCTTGTCCAGGCCAGCTCCAGATTGGGCTTCATCTTCCTCCATAGCTAGGCGACCTTCTGTGTCAAAACTGTTCAGAGGTAATTGTGTGTCCACCTACAGATGCAAATATTACAAAGATGTTGATACAGCAAAACAATACTTTCACACACTTAAAATGGAAAATCTCTTTTAGTTTTAGTCTTGAATTTTACAGCACTAGCAACACAATTAGATCTTATAAGTGCTGAAGATTAGAAGTGTTACAAGAGAGGAACAAACACAATAAAGAAGGAGAAATAGGGGCAATAGGCGTTTGATAGTAAAGAAGGCAAAAGCCAGACCAGAGCACCCACCAACCACACACTAGAAAATGTTTACTATCAAGACACTTGTCCTGAGAAACAAAAAAGACGTTTTATCCTACTCTGAGCACAGATTTACATAAAATGTAATTATGTTCAAACTAATTTGCAACACCATCGTGAAAAATAAAGGACACTGAAATTTAAACAATGAAATCGACCGGAAAATCTAAAAACATTGATAATATCTTTACCTTGGTTTGTATGAGAGACAGAATTTCTTTTTAATGATCTGACGACTGAGAGGAAACATTCTAAAAAGTATGTCTGCCATTGTAACACTATCTGACAGTACAGTACCAGGGTAAATATAAATAGACTATCTTTGAGCACCTGTATGGCCACAATGGAATCGCCGGTGTTCAGGACAGCAATTCCATCTACACGGAGCTGGACTCTTGGGGAGAAGAACGGAAAGGGCGGTGCCAATTCAAACTTGGAGTGCACGCAGAAGCTGTGTCGAAGGCACTGCTGGACGGAGGGCACCTGGGGCAAAGCTAGGTTACAGAAAAGACATGAAATAAATTAGACAAAACAAAACAGAAGGCAAACCAACTGAGGGTTCCGAGATAACATCTTCCCCCCCCCCACCCCACCCCTCCAATTTTATCAAGATACGGGAGCTTAATTGAGAGAGATCAGAGAAAGTATTTTACAACAAGCTTACTTATATCCAACCTGAACCTCCATCCTAATTCCTGACTGTAGAAAGAAACATATTTTACTCAGTTTTATAAATACTTTTGAGATGATTGGTTCATGGCTTCTACTGGCTGACACAACAGTTCTTCTGGCATCACATTAGAAGAGATCAGACAAAAGTCATTGTGATTTTGGTTAAACTGAATTCTAACCTATGGTAACTGCATTAAATCAAAACAAAGAAGAATAAGCAGAAAAAACATGCATTAAATCAAACCACCTGGCACTCAAAACACACATGGTGACATCAGATGCCCATACTTAACTATCCATGAATCAAATTGTCTTCCTCATAAGCAGATGACAAATTTACCTCAATGACAAATCTCATACAAAAGCAACCATAGCCCTGGTAGATAATTCATTTGCAACAGTCAATGAACAAAAATATTTGGTTTCATGACAGATACATTATTATCAGAACACTTATTTTAACACTTTGCCCCCACCGGACCCCGATCGGCGACAGTAAGAAGCCGTCCCTTTTCCCCACGGGACACCGATCGGCGTCTTTGTGATATAGCAAGTACTGCATCTGTATCCTGGTCCGTGGGGATAAGTGTTTTGCGCTGTGTAGGTGGAAAGTGTTAAGCAAGCATAAACGAGAAGTTAAGTATGAAGACAAGGGTGTTAGTAAGAAGAAACAATGTGGAAAGTAGACAATAGTAATAGATAAAGTTGGGGATAAAGGCACAAAAACGACAGAGTGGACTCACCATGAGAAAGCACCTGGCAGTCATGACACTCCCCAAGGGAGGGCACAGCTGTCACAGTCAGGTAACACTGGCAACCGTCTTCCCCAGCCGGAGGGGTGCTGCAGACATACAGGTTAACATAACAATGAGTCATGGCAGCAAGCCAGTAACACGTCAAATGCACTGAAGGTAATTTAGTTTCAGTAAGAGTTTTACCCCACTTGCAACACAATTAGGTCATATAAGTGCTGAAGATTAGAAGTGTAACTAAATAGTAACATACAAATAAAAGAAGGAGGAGAGATAAGAACTATAGATGTTCGATAGGGAAGGAGGGGCAAACCACACAAGAGCACCTGCCCTACTGGAGATGGCGAAGCTGCTGAGAACCTTAATGAAAAGGACTGGTATGTTATAACGTTGAGTTGGGTTAGAGTTGCCATTAATCAGGGGATTTACCTCAGAAACATCTAGTTTCCAAAGAATATAGAAAAGAGTTGAAAGGAGCAGACAACTTCAGAGCACTCAAAAACCACTCACATAATGTTTGGACAAACCAAGACAGATCTTAGAACAACAATGATTACGATAACAGATATATATGCTCTTCTTGAGGCAAAACATTATAGAACAAAATCTATGTTGATGTCAATGAATCCAGAAAAAAACAAGAGCAGCAAGAAAAATTAAGAAAATCTGTAATTACCCTGCCAGTAAGGTCCAGATTACCATCTTTACATACATCAAGCAAATCTACACACAGTCAACCTGCCAAGGCTGAATTTCTAGACTCTTCCTTAATAATGAACTGTTTATACTGAACCTGCATAAGCTTGGAACCATTCTACAGTGAAATGGAATGAAAATCTGATCCATTTTAAAAATGAACTCAACGTAACTTAACATTTTGTTCATATATAGGCTCCAAGAAATAAATGCAGCTCTGAATTTTAAGGTATTACGAACAAAAGTCGCCCTTCAGATATGTTAGATCTTGCTGCTGAAACACCCCCTCCCCCCGAAACTGGACAAGGGCATCTAGGCATGGGTATCCTTTAGCATAAAAGTAGAATTCTTCCAACCAGTCCAGGAGAAACATCAGTGATTTCACACTCACTTTCCGATCTAGGTAAAATTGGTATGGCTTCAAAGATAAGGTCAGTACTGATCTCGCTACAAAGTTTTGACTGCATGCCATGACATGACACAGGCAGCAGAGAGAGGCAGAGAGAGACAGAAAAGAAAAACGAGGAAAAGGCATGGGCACAAGCACATGAGTGACTATACATTGGAACAGGGAGGACTTGAAACAAATACTGATCAAGGGAGCAAGTGAAGACCTCAGAACCCTTTCCAAAACCTCAAGCAAAATGTTATCTCTTTTATGTGAATCAGTGTCAGTGAGACTGAAGTGAGAGCTTCTCCATGAAGCTTCCCTAGATTATTGACACTCACCCTTCCCTTCATTTATCCCTTTCCCAATCCACTTTTTCTTAATCTCACCCATACCAGAAGCTCTGTCTAAGGCAGAAGACCTGTAAAAATGGGAAATTCTTTTCACATTCCCTTGATATTCCATTTTTCAGAAGTCTGACTCTTACAACAAACAGGGAATGACAACACTCACCAATGACCATAGATAGTAATGCACTCACCTATGACCATAGATAGTAATTTTAGTTCTGTCTTCAGGCCATTCACAATAAGCAATAAAAAGTGAGTGAAAGATATTTTCCTCTCCAAACAATCGAACTTCAGACACCTGAGAAAAGAAATGCACAAGATGAAGTGAACGAAAATGTGAAGAATGCAGCAGGTGTAGCAACTTTTTCAAAACCCAGGCAGGGATACCCAATAACAACAGATTAAATAACACTGAACTACAATCACATGGTTTTGGTGTGGTATTGTTGCAACTGTCCTCTCAAATTCCTTGATTGTCAAATCCAGGACAGTCCGAGAAAATTTGGGACCCTTAGCAATCACGATGCTGGGAGGGAGTGAGGGATGGGACGGAGGAAGAGAGAGAAAGAGAGAGAGAGAGAGAAAGAGAGAGAGAGAGAGAGAGAGA